GGGAAAAACATGAGCTGCAAAGATTTACATTTTCTTGTTGTTTTTCTCCCTTCAGTTTAGGAAGCAACTTTAATATCTGCATACAAGTTGTATTCTACTTAACTGTAATTTCTCTCTGAGAAAACTTTAAAAAATAACTCAGCTGATCTGGGGGACATGCAGGTAATATAATATGCATGACCACCCTCACATTTGTGAAAACCAATAGATGGATTAGTAAAAATTTACCTGACACAGTTTTAAGAAATTTAATTGCAAATGCCCATGCTATTTACTTGAATGAATGTGCAAAACTTTGCTTTTAGGAAAGCTCAAATTTAATTTTTTTAAAGATTTATTTGTGCATGCAAGAACTGGGGTACAGACGAGAGGTGCAGGGGGTGGAGGGAGGTGAGGATTCACCAGAGACAGAGTGGGGAAACAGAACAGGTGGATTGAAACACACCGCTGCGGGGTGCAGTGGGAGAGACAGGAGAGGTCTGCTGCTTCTGCTCCCTGGCCTGCAGGGATGGAACTTGGGCTGGCTGCAGTGGCTGTGGATAGCTTCATAGTGCTGCGACTTAACCCCTTGTGCCATCAGGGAGGCCCAGGAAGGCTCAAATTTAGTAAGCATTTGTATTTCTATCTTACCTGTTCCTTAATTTTTAATGAGAAATACCTTGAAGAGAAGAAAATAGGACCCTAAAGTTCCTTAACATTTACAGGTCCTCAAAATTTCCAAATCAAATGCTATGTACTAGCGGAAGAGTTATGAGTCCAAATCATGACACGAATCCATGTCATGGTAACAAAAATATCAAGGTGATTAAAAAAATCACTCAGCGGGCCTCCCTGGTGGCGCAGCGGTTGAGCGCTGGGTTGCGAAGCTGCCCACAGCCTCTGCAGTGCCGGTTCGATCCCCGGCTGCTCCCCGGCCACCAGAGGAGGGTCCCGCATGGCGTGCAGACCTCTCCTGCCACCTGCTGCTCCCCTCAGCAGTGCACTTCGGTCCTTCTGCCTGCTCTGCTCCCCGCTCTGCCTCTGGTGAATTCTCTCGCCCTCCCGCGCTTCTGACTGTACCCAGTGCTTGTATAAATAAATAAATAAATCAATCTTTAAAAAAAAAAAATCACTCAGCAAAAGAGTAATGGTAGAGATAACAATGGTAATGGCTAACGATAAGCACTTTACTGTGTGTTAGGCACCGTACAAAGAAATTTATATGTCCTTTCATTTAGTAGTAATAAGAAAACCTTTTAAGTTGACTGCTACTACTTTCATTTAAGAGGAAAATAAGAGGAAAATAAAAGGAGGAAGAGGAAAATAAAATTGAGTCTGACTTTCCCAAAGACATGTAGCTGTTGTGTGCTGGAGGCAGAACTGAAAATCAAACAGTGTAGATAGAGCCCACTTTCTTAGCAATGCTTTATTCTTGAGAAAGACCTGTCATCAATTGATAGGTAAAATACTGTATTAACAGTATTAATAATAATTATGAAACCAGTCTTTCTCTTCTTAAATTTACCCCCAATTAGAGGTTATTCTTGAGTACAAAAACAAAATCTTTTACTTCTTAGAGAGAACTGGATGGATAGTAAATGTAGAAGCATAATGAAAACAGTTTTTAAAAGACCTTCATTTCTTTAAGTAATATAATATTTGATGGATCTCCCTGGGGCGCAAGGGGTTAAGCTGCAGTACTAAGAAGCTGTCGGCAGCCACTGTAGCACTAGTTCGATCCCTGGCCAGGAAGGTGACCCACATGGCACAGCAGACCTCTCCTGTCTCACCTCAGCAATGTGTTTCAGTCAGTCTGCCTATTCTGCTCCCCACTCGGGTCTCTGGTGAATCCTCTCACCCCTGCACCTCTAGCCTGCACCCCAAGCTCTTGTATGCATAAATAAATAAATCTTTAAAAAAATATGTAATACTTGTGGCAATACAGAGAAGTAGCACTGAAAAACAATGGCTACTCAAACTCCCTTATTAGAGATAAGGCAGAGTATCCTTGATGGTATATAAAAAGGGCCATGATCTCCTAAAGAGACCTAGTGGCTGACAGATTCATAGGAAGGGGGTTCCTAAATCTTGTTCTCAACCTGGAGTAGTTGGGTCAATGTTTTTAAAAATCTTACAAAAATCAGTCTACAGTTTAAAAATTATTCTAACAGCAAGAGTAATGTTAATATTCTCACCTACAGTTCTGTCACTTAAACTTTAACCATTAAGGCATTTCTTTGGTGATTACATATGCAAAATTAAACTAGTATCATGCATTTTTCTTTCAAAATTAAACAAGGATTATAGGTACTTAAGTTTAAGATGGCCAGTCCTCTGATCGAAAAAAGTACCTACTGAAGAGTTACGAAACACCAGAAGTAAACAAAGAGAACAACCCTATGCCCAATGTTTCTTGCTAACCTTCTTGGCTAGTTTAAGCAAAAGAGCAGCAGCACAAATATAACCCAGGCATTAAACCCCTATAAATAATCTAGAACTCCTCAAAGTGCTAATCCCATACCACCTATTGATAGTCACCTAGTATTGATAGTCACCTAGGAATGCAAGAGGCAAGGGGTATGGAGATAACCTGAATTCTTTTTTTTTTTTCACATTTTATTTAAATTTTATTTTTTATATTCCCCATACAATCGCAACCCCTAACCTGGATTCTTAAATTTAGCTATTATGTTTAGGAAAAACACAAACTAAAAAAACAGTTGGATTTCCACTTTAAAACACAGTTATGTCAGTGGAAATTTAAGTGAGCTCTTTACCATAATTCACATGACTAAATAAAAATCAAGTAAAAAAGGGAAAACAATGCAAAGTAGTTGACCAGGTTTATCTGTAAAATAACATCACACATCAGCCAAAACAAAAATACATGTAACTTAACAGTTAGGCGCCTTTGGTGTCAGCTCAGAAACCTAGACTAACGCTTAGATTCTAGTATCAGCGCCTAATGGTGAAGAGCTGTTGCAAGAGCATAAAAGCACAGGGCTTACTATATTATAGTAGCTTATCAATACTTTCACCTTAAACTTACACAATGTTTTATGTCAATTATATCTCAAAAACAAAACTGCTCATAGGTGCCATCATGACTGTTAGACCTCCTGGAAACATGTTCAACAGTGGAAAGTATCCACCACCAACTATTAACAAAGAAATTCCTTTTGAAGTCAGTTTTACAGATAGAAAATACTAAGCAAGCCTTACACATAGGAACAAAAATCTTTTCAAAATTCATTTGTAAAATGTAGACAATCTGGCATTAAATGGAAATCACAGATATGCATGTACATAAGATTATACATGTACAGATATGGGATTAATTTTTTTAAACACTTTGAAATATCATTAGAAAAATTTCATTTAGAAGATGATTGTAGTATCCAAAATAACAACAAACAAAAATTCTAGTCTTGATCTTCCGGCAAAATTTCCCTGGAATTAAGTTCTTTACCATAAGTACTTCAGTTTTTTAGTATGTACTGTGGAGGGAGAAAGGGCAGTATATAACACTGCCCATAACTATTTAGCTCAGGTATTTAGCTAGAATGCGTATGTATTTTCAGAAATGCTACCATTGACAACTACTTACGTGGAAACAGAGTAACTTCTGCACCAGTTTAAGGTGAGAGGATATTGCCTGTAGTCTTTAAAATCATCCTACCATGCAGGTCAGTTAGCTAGGATGAATCGGTTTTCTGAAGGCTAAACTTTGGGAAGAAATATTACTAACTCACATCTATGTAAGAACAAATGCATTAACAAAGGAACTACAAAGAATACATATTATATTGCTTATTAAAATGTCAAGATTCCTGACTCAAAATAAACACTCCATATAAACTCCAGTTTTGATATTATAAAAAACATAAAATACTACATGATACAATGCCAACACGACATACAAATGTAAAAGGGTGAAAATTACTTTTATACTACTAAGTCTACCTAAGTGAAAATACCACGTTTATTTCCTGTATGTACTAGGGGAAAATCACAAAGGAGCGCCCTAATTTTTCTTATTGAAGTGTCTGAAATCAAGAACACAATTATCAACAGTATTTTCTTATAAACATAAACTAAATACACAGCACCTAGTTTTGCTTCTGAAAAAGGAATTTTAAGTTGCTACATGCCAAAGGGCATCTCTCATGCATTTCAAATATTTGACTTTTTAAATGAGATTAAAATATAGTGTTATATACCTGAAAAAGTATGACTTAATTACATACCCCTTGCAAAATACTGTGAATGTGAAAGATGAATGGTTCCTCTGACACTACCTAATTCAGTGACAGATGAAATTGAAGCCCCTAGGAAGGCTAAATGCGTGCTCCAATGCTACACAGCTGTGATTTCTACATTCCCAACACTGCTAGATCTCTCTTCTTGGGGACATTCACTTCCCCCTCATCCTGGTCCTGTCACGACCATGGTACATAGTGCTCATGCTCCTCCTTTTCCTCCAACCTCCTCCAAGGTCCATTTAATTTTCATATCCCTCTTCATTAAACCCTCATTTTTCTCCCTCCCTCATCCTGAAAGGACTCTTAAATTTATATCCTAGTAGTGTTCAAATTTAATTTTACAGGTCAGTGTAATTACAACAGTCCAGCTATTTAGAATTATAATTTTAAGTTACTTTTTACTAGTCACTTTCAATATTTTAACTATTCTAATTTAAAGAAATTTATAAGCATTATCATGAAAGATACCAGATCAAATCTTATTATTTGCTTATTACTTGGGACACTGATTCTGGTCTTGTTTGCAGCTGCAATTTAGCTTTTATACAACTACCTTAAGGATATTTAGGATATCAAAATGTGAAAAGACATTATTGTAACCAAAATCAAGGTAATTTTAAAGTGTGAGGTTTGCTGAACAGCTCTTTTCTCCACTGTGTGACCTACTTAGGTATTTATCATCACATGACTGGAACTGCAAAATATTTTTTGCCAGAGTATGATTCAATTAAAAGAACTAGGAAAAAAAGAATTTCTCACCCCCGATGGTACTTTCTTGAAATTCATGAAATTGGCCTTTCACAAAACGAAGCACTAGGCTTGATTTGCCAACAGCAGACTCTCCCAGAAGTACTAGTTTGAACTGGCATATTTTATTTCCAGTATTTGGCCCGTTGGGTCTTGTTGCTCCTCGATTAGCCATGTCCAAATTTGAAATAAGTCCCCAATTTCAGTTTTTTGAATGAACTTCCAGGATGTGAGGTGTCAATTTTTCTTCTTCCGGAGGTAAAGAAACCTGTAAGGAAACAAATATGAAGTAATTATACAAACCAGTAACACAAAGCATTATCTACTATTAAAAACTTAAGTAAACCTTGCCCACAACATGTCATTGCATGGCAATTCTAAACTCTACTAGGTACTGAATGTCCTCTGGTTTAATTCACTATTTTAATATCGAAATAATGTAAGGCATGAAATTTTAGCCTGAAATCATGTTTTCATTTTCAGAGCTTTTTACTTTTTTAAGACTTAACTTTGTTTTAGGTACTACTTTTAGTACTCACATAGTCACTAAACAATCCTATGGACTATTACAATCCTTAAAAAAATGAGGAAACATACACTGAGAGGTTATATAATTTGACTGAGGTCACATAGCTACTGTGACAGAGCGATGACAGAGCTGGGTTTTAAAACTGAGGCAAGAGCTCAGGTTCTGGAATCACTATTCAGGTTAAAGCAATTCTGATGAAAGCTCTTAGTGTTGATCCTAAAACGTAAGCAAGAGCTCCAAAACTGCTGGCTATATTAGAAGATTTCTATTAAATAGTACCATTCTATTAAATGGTACTTTTTTTTTTGTTTTGCTTAACAGAGACTTTGGAGCAACCAATTTTAAAGCTTCTAGGTTTGTGTATCTATTAGCTACAGACTGTTTTCTCATGTACTCAAGTATGTGTCTGGCAATGTTAGCAGTAGTTGTCTATATTGCTAAGCTTGTTTTTTTATTTACTTGTACTTTTCTATAGTTTTTGGGCTAACAAATGTCATTTTCTATATAATGCATTTGGAAAAAAACTAGTCTTTATGCCAACTTCTTTTATGTTGTCTTACTGTCTAATGAGACTTTTCAATCTCAAAGGAATCAGCAAACACTTAAAAGAATTTTTCCCAAACTACTCACAAATCAGCTTTCTTCCACTGTAATAAAAAGATCATCACATGCTAACAATACTAAATGTGAAGATTCTCCCCCTATAACCTCTGCAATTTAGCTACCTCACATAAGAAATGTGCCTTTCCCATGAACTGAGTATGTAAGAATCACTCTTTAAATTCATTAATAAACCCATAAAAGCCTATATTCTGGCGACCATAAAATCATTTCTGCCTTATTTAAACACAAGCTCTGAAGAGTCCTTATCTTTCTTTAGTAATACATTCATAGATGAAATGATGTGTCTGAGTTGCTTCCTAACAATGAGAACATAAATAAAACAAGATTGGCAACAAGAGAATTGAAGCTAGGTTCTGGGATCATTATACTATTCTCCCTATTTCTTTATATTTAAAAAATCTTCTGTAATAATAGTTTAAAAAAAAAAAAAGCTCCAATTCCCACATTTAACTAAGCCCCAATTCCCCCACTCTAGCCCTCAGGAAACATACCAGACCAGATTTGGGGATCTAATCCTGACTTTACTAGTCTCTGCCGGAACAAATACTTTCATTTCCAAGTCTTTATTTTGGGTATACCCAATTTACATAGCTACTGTGAGAATGAGAAAATATACGTTAAGAAATCTAATACAATGCTAACACATAGAGATAGAAAACTGGTCTGTGGTAAAACAAGCAACAGAATGCCATGTAGGCTGAAAATGCACCAACCATGTGTCCGGGTAATATTATACAGAACAGCAATTTAAACTCTTCCCAAATGTCTTTTTATCTACGAAACTGACAACCAGTAAATTGAAATAAGGAAAACATCAGATTCGCATTAAAAAGAAACCAGCAAGACAAGGTTAGTAGTTAGCCTTGCCTTTAAGGTTTAAAGCTATTGGGTTTTAGTTACCCCAAGGCTCTCAAACAAGAAACAACAATTCAATTATACAGTCAACACATTACGGGTAAGTGCTTATATGCACAACTCACCGAAACTTCCATTTTGCAAAAGAAAGATTTTGCAGAAAATGCAATTTTAAATCTTTTGAAAATAACTTATTCTGACGTCCTTACGGGTGCTCTTTAACAAAAATTTCATGAACAGCTGCAGTTAACATTACGCAAATATTTTGTACCAGGCCCCAGTCTGTTAATTTTGCTTACAGTTCCCCTCAGCTCCTAGGTCCCGGTTTTACATTGAGAATAAACTCTGAGCTGTCTGAATATACGGTGGTGTACCCATGGGATTTTTCTTTATTAGTTATGTGAAAGGTAACTGATACAACGCTCAGATACCGCTTCAGCAGACGACCAAAAAAAAAAACCAAGTATGTGAATTATGACGTTCAGAGGTTAAAAAGTCTGAAAGTCTTGGGGGTGGGGGCGCGGGGCGGGGACAACCAGGGAAGACATCACAACAGGTTTAATGGTCTCTACCTACTTAGGGTGCCCCACAGCCTGGTGATCCTCAGTTCTTCAGTGAACTGCTGTCCCCCACCTCATGCAGAACAGACACTATTTCGACCAGCCTCCTCCTCCCTCCATGAGCCCGTCTTTGGAAGTCGAAGGTAGGCGGAGCTGCCCAAACTCACACCTGCTGTAGGCCCCGAACCCCCGAGCAGCGCACCTGAGCAGCTGCAACAACCCAACTTCATAGGTGCGGAACAAGCCGGGCTCGCCGGGCGCGCTGGCCAGCTGCCCGATCCTGCTCCCCCGAAACAGGCCGGGCTGAGGCCAGGACCCCCCACCCCAGCCCGCCCCGCACCCCAGGACTGGCAGGCCAGGAGCGAGGCGGAACCGCGGCCTCCAGGACGCCTTGGCGGCGCCATCTTGAGAAGGGAAGCGGGTGACACCCGTCGCTCCCTCAGTCAGTGCCCGAACCCTGATTTCCAGAGCCCCCCGGAGAAGGAGTCACAGGGCCGGCGGAGAGCGCAGCGGGACTCGACAGCTCGCGGCCCGAGGCGGCGGCGCGCGCGGGAGAAGGGGCGGGGGACCCCGCGCCGGGAGGGCGGCGGGCGGGCCGGGGAGCGCGGACCAGCCGGGTCCCGGGCTCGCTTGGCCGGCGGGGGAGCAGCTCGGTTACCTGAGGCGCAGCGCGCGGGGCCGCGGGGGCTCGGAGGCCGAGGCCGAGACTGTGGCTCTGGCGGCGGCGGCGTCTCCTCCTCGCGCCGCTCCCCTCAGACTGGACGGTGCCGGGCTCGCGCCGCGGTGCCGCCCCCGTCGGGCTCCGTCCCCGCCTCTCCCTGCTCCGCCTTCCTCCGGCCTCTCTCCTCCTCCGCCGCCGCCGGCGCTGGAGTGCCGAGGAATTCCTCCTCCCCTCCCCGGCCTCCTCCCCTCAGGCCGGCCGCCGGCTCCTTCTTGAACTAAAACACAAACACTCAAGTCCCAGCGCCGGAGCCACTTCCGCCGCCCAGCGCCGGCCTCACCGCCACGTCGCTGCACGTCGCGGGCTACGCCCCGCCGTCACTTCCGGTCGCCGCCGGCCCCAGCGCTTCATCCGCTCAGGCCTGCAGTTCAAAACCCTCCGAGTCGCGGCGGCTTCGCGGTTCGGGGCGGGGCGCGTCACGTGACCACGCACTGCCCTCCCCCTCCCTCTCCCCAGGCGCGCGGGCCCCGCCCTCGCCGGCGCCATTGTTATCTGGGCGGTGGTCCTGGGCTCGCGGCGTCCGGGCGTCCCGGAGCCCGGGCAGCTCCTCGCCCGCCCCCACTTCGGGCTAGCCCGAAAACCTTGGGGGTGTTGCGCTCAGCCTTCATGGTGCGGCCAAGTTTCCTCTGAATATTTGCTCACAGTCCCCCTGACCTTACCCGGTGACACCCCCTATTCTGACAGCTGGTAGAGGCTCTTGAAAGAGGATTTCCCAGCTCGAGACCCTCGACTTGACACTGGGGCTGGGGGTGGGGTGGGGGGTGTAAAGGATATTTACTCCAAAGAGAAGGGAATAACCTTCTTCAGCCCCAAAGCTGTCTGTCTGCAAGAGGCGAAGTCTTAAAAACTTGCTGTCAGGGAGAGTTTACTTGATTTTGGTGGAGGGGGGCAAATCCTAAAATGAGTTTCCCTTTGCTCATTGCTGTGTTGAATGCTTTGCAGGGATTGTCCGATTTGTGTTTTTACACTGGGGCTGTCACGCTGAAACTGACTGTTGTCTGCCTTACTGCTTTAGTAACTCCACCGAGTGGTTCTCACCCCTGTTTAGCACGGTGCCTGGAGCAAATCTGAAGTCATGGATGTGGAATTGGTGGATGAGGCGTGCCTGTTTGCAGGTACAGAATCTGAGGCTCAGAGATTGAGTAATTTGTCCAAAATCTCTACGGACTTGATGAAATTGGATTCCAACTTGCAGGCTGGCTCCACAACCGAAGCCCAAAACATTACCCTCGTCTGCAGACCTGCATAAGGCGTTACTTTGGTTAAAGCTTACAAGGTAGTCACTGTCCAGGCATCTGAAAGAAAAATAAATTAAAATTCGTCTTGTACTTTGATAGAATTCTAAATTGATTTTCCCTCAGGATCAGGACTACTTTTGAGTTTGCAGTTTACCATTTATAGCCCTGTTTTGAGGACATCAATATTGATTGTCTTTGAGGTGTACTTGGGTGAGGTATCCTATTGGTGCTCAGTCAACATTATGCAATGAAGATGATTTGAACCCTTGAATAGCCAGTCTTTCAGATCAACTCCTCAGTTACTAACCAGAAGAACATAATTATCATATGTGAATAGTATCTGTGGCACTTTATCACCAAGGGATTTTTCCAATATGACGTTAGTCATGGTAATACTTCTTGGACAATCCCTGGAAGAATCAGGAAATAGGATATGTCACATCAGTTTTGGCATGTCAACAGTATGTCCAAATCCAAACTTGTCTCATCCCAAACTTGCTTTTGCTTGGTGACAGGCATTAACAGCCTCCCAGTCATCTGGACTTGAAACTGCAAAATCATCTTCACCTCTTCCATTATCCATTCTATCAAAAATTCTCTTATCCCCAAATCTGAGACATAATCCCAATTTTTTTGGGCCATGGTAGTATTCCTACAAACTGGAATTAATGCACATGCCTGGCTTTTCAATCTATACAGTTTAGCCAGTTATTCTGCTGGAAAACATTTGGTGGTATCTCTGCTTGCAAAAACAGGGCCCCAGATTCAGCAATTCTAGTGCCAACCTAGGTTTCATTTATTCTTTTTCTATACCCTTTATCTTTCCTCTTGCCAGACTCTTGGTCTGTACCCTAATCATGCCAGTCTACTCTATATTTCCTGATGATGCCTGTGCGTTAACATTTTGGCATCTTTGATCACCTTGTTCTTTCCTCCTGGAACACCATTTTCCTACCACCCGTCTCTGCAAGTCTCTCCTTGGGTGAGATTCCTAACTCCTCTGGACAGCATCTGAGATTACTACTACTGAATTTATCTTTTTCCTGCAGTTTCACAGCACTTTGCTTTACTCCCTGTAGTGATTCTAGTAGCAATAGTGCCCCCTTAGCCATGGAAGATATGTTCCAACACCTTCCATGGGTGCCTAAAGCCACAGATAGTACCAAACCACTGTATTTTTTCCCTATATGTATGCACCTATGATACGGCTTAATTTATAAATTAGACACAGTCAGTGATTAGCAACAATTAATAGGCTAGAACAATCATCACAGTGCACCTTAACAAAAGTTATGTGAATATTCTTTCTCAAAATTTTTAACTGATAATATTTTCAGACTAGGGTTGACCACAGGCTACTGAACCTGCTGAAAGCAAAACTCCATAGCAGGGGGACTACAAATATGCCTCATTTTACAGTCAGAGTGCCTAGACTTTTTTCCATAGACTTGTATTCCCATTAGACATTGAAGTTCTTAAGGGCCTGCCCTATAATTTATTCATCATTTAAATTTTTTTTTTAAATTTTGTGTAGAACTGGGTACAGGCCAGAGGTGTGGGGGGGAGGGGCCGGGAGGTGAGAGGATTCACCAGAGACAAAGAGGGGAGCTGAACAGGCAGATTTACTGAGATACACTGCTGAGGGGAGCAGTGGGCAAGACAGGAGAGGTCTGCTGCGCCATGTGGGTTAGTGCTGTGTCCAGGGATCCAGCTCAGGCCATAGTGGTGAAAGTGCTGAGACTCAACCCCTAGGCCACCAGGGAGGCCCACATTATCTCACTCCTTTTGGAACTTTGATGGATGTAATAAAGACTTCCAAAATATTTGTGAACTTATTTCCATTTAGAAATGTGAACATTTGACCCAAGACTTCATAACTCATGAATACTGAAATTTATAAACTGCCAGGAACTCTCCAATTTCATCATCCTAGGATCTTCCTCATTCATTTCTTTTTAACAATTTTGTTTTCAGATGCATGGCCTTCATGAATACATTCCACAATATTTTGAAGCTTAGTCGTGTTGTTTGCCTGGGAGACTGCTACTCCCATTGCTAACACTTCTTAGATCCAGTGGTTTTTTTTTTGATGAAGTACCACAGTAAAACTTTGCTTACTATGTTTTTTTTTTCCCTCTAGCCCCAGATAACTAAGGAGGAATAATAATTATATATTTAGTGTCAAACATGGGGTATAATAGTTCATAGACTGTGTCAAGGTAGCTACAAGTGGGCCCTGAATAAAGTCATCAGATCTTGAATACTGTCCTTAATGCTTGCTTTTCCCTCAAATCTCTATCCAACTAATCCAACTAATCTCCTTGACCTTGCATCTCTCAATCACACACAGCACAGTCTATCTTCTACCTTTTCTCCCAAGAAATCTTTTCTCCCTTGTATGGTTGAAAAATTAATCTTTGCACAGTTGTTAATGAAAGATTATATTTATTTTGAACTGGCACTCCTTATAATTCCTTAACTCTTACATAAGGAATTATAATTACGGTGGCAAGGCAATGAGCAAAAGGCTGTGGAAACTTGATCTAGTCACGTTTTAAAAGCTTTTGTCTTTGCCTGGGCCACCTTGGTGGTGCAAGGGTTAAATTTCAGTGCTATCAAGCTATCAAGCTATCAAGCCAGCCACTGTGTAATGAGTTCAATCCTGGCCAGGGAGGTAACCCACCTATGACAGCAGACCTCTCCTGTCTCCCCACTGCTCCCCCACAGCAGTGTGTTTCAATGTATCCACTCGTTCTGCTTTCTGTTCTCTGTAGGCCATGCCTCTGACCTACACCCCAGTTTTTGTATGAATAAATAAATAAAAATAAATCTTTAAAAAAAGCTTTTGTCTTTGTAGAGTATCATGCAAGCCTCAGTTCCAATGATACCTACCTAAGGAACTTCCACCAATTCTAAACTAGCTTCCTTCCATAGCAAAGCTTTCTGTTTCTTCATAACACTCAGCGCTATGCCAAATGATCTTACTTACTGGTTTATTTAACGATCACCCCTACTAGAATGTAAATTCCACAAGAAAGGTATTGACTTATATTTCTGGCACTGATAACAAAGTATGAGTTCAGGGCCTCCCTGGTGGTGCAAAGGATTAAGACGCAACCTATGAAGCAATACACAGCCACTGTAGCATAAGTTCCATCCCAGCGTGAGTTCGATCCCCAGCCAGGGAGTTACCCACATGGGGCAGCAGACCTCACCTGCTGCTTCCCTCAGCAGTGTATTCAGTCAATCTGCCTGCTCTGTTTCCCAGTCTTTCTCTGGTGGTTTCTTTCATCCTCCATGCCTCTGGCCTGTACCCCAGTTATTGCATGCATAAAAAAAAAAAATAAATCTTTAAGAAAAAAACAAAAACAAAATATGGGTTCAAGAGATATTTGTAAATTGAAAGAATTGGATGAACCCTTACAGGAACATATTGATTTATATACTACCAAGTTATTTAAAGTGCATTGGGTGGAGGATATATATATTTATTGTTTTTTTAAAATGTCTTTCTGGAGGCCTCCCCGGTGGCGCAGCGGTTGAGCGCTGGGTTGCGAAGCTGCCCGTGGCCTCTGCGGCGCCGGTTCGATCCCCGGCTGCTCCCCGGCCACCAGAGGAGGGTCCCACAGGGCGCGCAGACCTCTCCTGCCACCCGCTGTTCCCCTCAGCAGTGTACTTCGGTCCTTCTGCCTGCTCTGCTCCCCGCTCTGGCTCTGGTGAATTCTCTCGCCCTCCCGCGCTTCTGACTGTACCCAGTGCATGTATAAACAAAACAAACAAACCAGCAAACAAATAAATAAAGCATGCCTCTATTAAAAAATAAATAAATAAATAAAAATTAATAAATAAACTAAAAAAAAATAAAATGTCTTTCTGGAGTATTTAATCACTAGAAAATTTTGGTAAATGGTTTTTACAAATGTGAAATAGTATTTCCCTAGTCATCTCTTAAAAATTTGTGGGATTTTACACGTTTTCTATAGAGTTCCTAGAAAGACTGGATTCCTATAAATTCCACTCGAATTCTAAGGTACATGTTCTCTGTATCCTTAATATGTGTAGAATATGAAAAATATTTCACCAAATATACTTTGATAAACTCGGACAGAGGTTAACCCCAATTTAAATAAAATCCCATGTTTAAAAATTAGTTTGAGTTAGCCCACAGTATTATAACAATCCAATATGCATTATTGTGTAACATTTCAATCTTTAACATACTTTAGATGTTACATAAAACAGTTATTGAAATGTAAGTGTTCTCAAAGACTTTAAAATATTTCTGTACCACAGGGGCCAAATAAAATAACTTTACAGAATTTAAAGTAGTTCTTTAGCACCAGAAGAACGATATGAAGTGCACATGTACTTGCACAAGAAAGGATCTAAAATGTGTGGTCACCACCAGTGTGTTATGTATTTTCTAATCTGTAAAATTAATAGGCCATTGACCTGCAGGAAGCCTCTGGCTGAACCCATCTTGGGTTTGGGCGACCCAAGAGTAGTTGGTGAGAGCATTTGCTCTAGTGCTCAAGACCATATCCTTACAGTTTTCTTGCCCTTCAAATCTAGTAAGGAAGAGAAAACAAGATGTGGAAGGAAATCATAACCGAGGGATAGATAAGGGAGGCAGGCAGAGAGAATGGGGCGGTGATCAGTTGGAGAAAGAATTGCAAGCCAAGCCACGCCCCCGTTTCTCAGGTAACCGTGTAAACAGACCTGCGGCTTCTCTTTCCCTCGGTGAACCCCGGTAGTTAAGTGGTAGGCTGGAAACCATAGGCAGGGATTCCGAATGGAGATGTGTTGTTTCGTGAGAGTGGGATCCCAAAAAGATTTGGGCCCCCCAAGGGACTGGGAACTTCCCTTGACCCAGGTAAAGCCTTTCCCTTAGAGATGGGTGCCCCTACCTGTCTGAGAGAAAGTCTCCACTGAGCACAAAGGTAGGACTTCCCCAGGAAAAAAAAGGCTGACTTAGGAGAAAGGAGGGTCATCGTGGGGTCAAAAATCTCCTATAGAGTTGGGGCTCAGCATGGAATTCGGAAAAGAAGATTCCCCAGGGGGAGAGAGCCCTTTTGTTAGGCATAAAGGTCGAGGAGAGGATGCCATCACCAGAAACAATCTCCATTGGGTGAGGACCCTGAAACGAGATAAAAAAGACAGACTATTTCTAGCACCCTCATGGAAAGGAGTAATTTAGGAGTCTACAGGGTCTCAGGCTCACGGGAAACAAAACCTTTTCTGGCTATGTTGTCAGGAAGAATGGAGTTAGACAACGGGGGTCTGGAGTGTTCACCTGCAAGATAATCCAGTCTCCCTTGGGCATGGTGTGTGGGCATGGTGCTACTATATTGGTCTAATGAAGGGTGTTCATTGATTGGGAATTGGAAATTTAACCAGGCTTGGGATATGACTCAGGTCAATCTCCACTTATTAAATACTATAATTAGTAATTCTATTTTCCTGTTTCACTGTTTGTAGTTAATGACCCCACCCCACAGGCTCTAGGGAGCAGGAGAGATGCTATGGTTGGTGCCCCTGAAGGCTTAGGGGATTCGGTGGGAAAGGAGCCTCCACTGAGTATGGAACCTGAACAGGAGGTAGAAAAAGAATCTACTTGTGTTGGGATGACGCCCAGCCAAGAGATGATGCCTCCTGTGGAGGTGGACATTGGGCTACCCCCTTCAGAGGAGGAAGATGAAACTAAGAACACAGAGCCTCAATTAGGCTTGATCATAGACCCTGCAGAGGGCCATTCTGCCCAGCAACCTGAAGAGAAAAAGGATGCTGAAAACACCGAACCGGGAGTGGAGCCTCCAGATCGCATCAGATCCATATACGCTGGGAAATTTTTTGATCGGATGCCTTGCTGGCCAAGTGTAAGTTTTATTTTTTTTTCTAGTACTTTCCCTAGGAATTACGTATTACCGTGTCTTTAAGATGATAAACTGATTAGTTTGGATTTCTGAAATCAAACTGAAGAGATTTCATTGACAGTCTTTGTGAAAGATTTACTCAATAGAAACAGAAGCAAGAGCATCCATTGCCATTCTGATATCCGTTGTCCTTTCGACTCGTTTGGCTTTTAACCTTGTCTGGTTTCTTCTGATTTCTCTGCTGCCCTTCCTAGATGGCAGCTTTGTTTTCTGATTGCTTCCTTCTTTCTCTGTTAACCTTCATTTCACTCCTCAATCTTCAAACTAATTAGGAAGTTAGTTCTTTAAGTAGTGGAAGATAATGAATAACAGGTGAAAAGTTAGATGGCTATTCCAAAGAAATGACTGCCTGAAATTAACACAGAATTAGAGATCACAGAGTACAGTGAAACCCTTTTAGGAGATGATAGTGTTAAGAATTTGCCATTTAATTGTGGGTCTCTGATGAAAGAGGGGTCTTGATGGGTGACTTAGGAGTTTTCTAGGTTTATAATTATTCTGATCTGGTGGTAGGTGACTATCCAGTAGTGGCCATTCTAAGTTTTTAATAATTAAAAGGTATCAGTTGAAGAAGGCAGAGATACATTTGGTAACATGAGACAGTCTGAGCCATACATGGCAATGGAAAAGGTCTAGGCAAGCTCTTTTAGAAATATATTTATGAGAGGTGTTCAGAGAAAGAAATGTTAATGAGGTGAATTCTTATTGTGTAGTTCGTGGCATCTAGTGGGTATTTAGTTAACATGCATGATAAATGGAAGAAAGACTTGAGATTAAATGGAAGAAGAATCAAAGAAGCACTTAATGTTTATGAGTCAGGGTTGCTTTAGATTTGCCATTTGCTTCTTTTTTTCTGAGTAGTGTTACAGTGCTTAAAAATAACTGTAGCATTAGAAACACAGGCCAGAATTTGAAAAAAAATCTGTTCTTCAAAATCCTTTCTCTCTACCCTGACAGTGATGATCTATTGCTTTTTTTTTCCTTAGGCTGGTAAAGTTATTCCTATTGGATACAGAGTTGCAAACTGCTTGACTGAAAAACTTCCCAGGGTGAGGATTTTCATTATGCACTTGAGTTTATATTTTTACCTTTTATGTGAACATTGTAAGACAAGTCTCAACCTTCCTTATGAAAACTGTATACATTTAATATGGGCATTTGGATTCTTCACTGTGTTTCAAGGCCACCTCTTGATTTCATTCAAGAAAATGAAAATTCCAGGCTTATAATTTCTAGTTCTGCAAAAACAAAAGGGATTTTGGGCCTCCCTGGTGGTGCAAGGGGTTGAAACACAACCTATGAAGCTATCCGCAGCCACTGCAGCACGAGTGCCATCCCGGGCCAGGGAGCAACCCACATGGCACAGTAGACCTCTCCTACCTCACCCGCTGCTCCCCTCAGCAGTGTATTTTCAGTCAGTCTGCCTGTTCTGTTCCCTACTCTGTCTCTCGTGACTCCTCTCACCCCCACAACTCTGGCCTGTACCCCAGTTCTTGTATGCATAAATAAATCTTTAAACAACAACAATAGCAACAACAAAAACAGGGATTTTGATTTATTTCAATAGGAAATAGTCATTTCTGGTATGTTTTCTGTACTGGATACTCCCTTGCTTTAATTTTGAAATTTGGTATCAATTCAAAGTACATTTTAGGGAGTTACAATACTAGGGGTTACAGTTTCCCCACTACACTGCACTGGTGTGCTACTACACTGGTCTAATGAAGGGTGTTCATTGATTGGGAATTGGAAATTTAACCAGGCTTGGGATATGACTCAGGTCAATCTCTATATATTAAATACTATAATTAGTAATTCTATTTTCTTGTTTCACTGTTTGTAGTTAACGACCCCACCGGAGGCAAAAAAATTTTTCAACTTCAGATATCCACCTGTTGGAGCAGAAAGAGTGTTTTATGGCAGAGCGAATGATCCCCAAATCCCACCTTATTTGACACATGGACTCAGATCTACACATTCAATACCAGTAACTTTTCTTTTCTTCCACCCACCCGAATGTTACTCACTAGCCAAAGTGAAAATACACAAATAAGTTGTTAATGAAATCATCAGTTCAAATTTTACTTTTACCTTTAACCTTGAGAAATGGAAAAGAAAATCTAAGTACAGTGACGAGAGTGTAGAGAAATGAAAGGTGTATGCCCTAAGCGATATCTTCTCCTTTCAGACAATAAAAGCCAAGTTACGTTTTATTTTCTCACAGTGAAGAGAAATTCAGTCAGGTTTTGTTAGTGAATAGAGGGGCCAGAAACCTAGAAATCATGGCTCAGAGGCGCTCCAGAGTACTTGCATATACTTTGAGTGGAAGTGGAGGTGGAATCCAAGTGCTATCTGTTATTGATTGAATGGACAGTGTAGAGTCAGAGGACTTGCCACATGTCTGGAGAGACTTTGTGGAAATGATTTGGTTCTTGTGTTTTCCATTTCTACTCTCTGGGAATGTTTCAGGCATGTATTTTGGAAGCTCCCCTCCTAAATCATTTAACCCCATTGAAACTTTTTCTCTGTTGACATGTATTATCATGTCAAAAAGAAAATACATGTCTAGACATGTTTAAGGTTCACAGTTCCAATTCTGACAGTTCATGTGAAGATGAGCAAAGGCAAAGATGATGAAATGTTTTCTCACAGTCTTATTCTCTTCTCCCCAATGATTGGAGTTTCAGTTTTTTGTTGTTACATTTGTACTTTGTATGATTCTTTTAGGCAAAGGTATTGATAATCTATACTTTTTTGTTGTTACATTTGTACTTTGTATGATTCTTTTAGGCAAAGGTATTGATAAACCCACAACCTATTACAACATTTCAACAGAGAATTAAAGATAAAAAGGAATCAATATATTTTAGTAATCGATGGGCGCCATTAGGAAAATCTCATGATCAAACACCAGGATTACCGAAAGGCCTGGATATACTCAATACCACATTTGGGACAGCAGTCATCAGAGGTAGTTAAAAAAAAAATAAGGGGTGGGGAGGAAGTGTAATATTCAGTTAAACTTTATTGTATCATGCATAAAGATTGAAACATGAAAAATGTATTTTAGAACAGATAAAGTACTTTATTTTAATAGGATTGCATTTATTGTTTATGTAGATATGACATAGCATTACAGCAATTAGATCATAGCTGAAATCGATGATTAGTCCACTTAGTATGGAAAAGTACTGTCAAGGTGTACCTCATTTGAATATATAATAGCAAGAATGTTCTAAAATGTGCATGTGTATTAATTTGTTTAATGATTACTATATCAAAAAGAAATATTATTTTAAAAGATTATTTTGACCCCAGTTCTTGGCAGAAAATCCAAAAGAAAGAAAATATATTAATTTATGTTGACAGATTGAAAGGGAAGAATGAAATTTTAAATGGAATTATATTATAAATCATTATGCAAAACAATGAAGCGAATTCACTGTGCACAACAGCACTGGGGACCACCTGTCATGAAAAGCTACTGTTAAACATTTCATAGTTTAGGTTTGGAATTAGTAGAAAGAAGCTTGCTTCCTGATTCCAATGATTCCCTGGCACTTTGGGCCACTTTGAGGATGGAGATTCATATCAAAATGGATTTGAGGGTGTGCCCGCCTGCCTACAGCTTCCAAAATTGCACCATGGCTATGCCACAGGGCATCAGGATTTCTAATTCAAATTTGCTTAAATAATTGTCTTGAGAAGTCTGGGGCAAATTAAAATAAAATTTGTCCAGAGGTTCTGAAAATTTAAAATTTAACCAGTTTTAGAATGTGGCTCAGGACAATCCATACAATTTTGATTATTCTCCAGAATTCTAGGGAGTGAGCCAGATCAATTGGGGGTCACCAACACAGTGACACTTAGACTATGTCCTGTCTTTCTTGATAACTTTTAAAAATAATTTTTTTTGATTTAAGATTTGTTAGTAATACTACATAGATTTCAAAATACAGGATAAACCTTTACTTACCTTGCTTTTGTGTTTTCCCAGAGTATCCATGTAGCTTATGCAATCAGTGTACCTCATTTCTCATTTGTTCTAGTCAATTTAAATGTGTTATAAATAAATATGTTATAAATAAAATATCTTTAAAGTGATTTCAATGATTCTTTCTCTAGAATTTTCTGCTAGAGATGTGGTGAATCCACCAAAATCCTATGAAGAAGTATTTAAAGAAGGAAGGGAAGGCCATGATCTGTATATTGTTTCTCACAATAGTTATTTTGCAGGTGAGTGTCCTTCAGTGTACATTAGGCCTGAAGGTATGGGACTCAGATTTGTGCAGAGAAATAAAATAGATAATGTGCATAAAGTGAAGTGCCTGGCACATGATGGGTGATTAGTAAATGATAGCAACTCATTATTCATAAGGTTATAAACCCTGATAGTTGGGAACATACACATTTATGCATTTTGTACATAAATTGTAGAAATATATATCATCATATTATATATATCATTATCATATATCAAATATAGATATCTCATTAAAGAGAAAAACAGCTAAGAAAGATTAAATGTTAGTATTAACTTTCGTGGTTTTAGATTTAAAATATTATTTTTATTTAAAAGTCAGGATTATTCTAAGTGTTTAGTTCTATATGAGGAATGTTGGTTAGTGGTCGAGTGCACAATTTTTTAATTGGATCAGGTTCAAATCCTAGTTTAATATTCATTATCTTTTAGATCTTGGATATTTCCTTACCTGGTCATCATCTATTTGAATTTCTTGTTGGGGATAATAATATGGTAGGGATTAAGTGAGTACAAGCAAAATGCTTAGCATGGTGTCAGGAACAATAACTATTACTATTGTTACTGCTGTTAATATAATATAATAATTGTCTAGTAGTCTTGTCTAATAGTAACATTTTCTGCAATTATTCTATAACACACGTAAAGGCATTAGATGTAAAATACAACTTGATTGCCCAGTGTATTGATGTTAAGTAAAATCTTGTTATAATAGAGATTGAGAATTAGACTGATACATGTCCTGAGAAAGCCCACGGGCTGTGCATGATCTATGAACTCATTCTTCATCAGCTAGAAGACTCACCTCTTCCTGCAGAGCAAAGCTCCTCTCTTCTTTGTTCCCTCTACTTCTTTACTTTTTCCCTTTTACCACCCTGTCTGCTCTTCCTCCTGAACTTATGCTGGGACTTATCTCCTAAGCCTGTTGCTCCACTGTCTGGAATCTGCCAGTCTCTTCTCTTATGGCCAGTCTCTGAGGGTTCTGTACAGTCTGTAACATGAAAAATGCCAGCCCAAGGATCGTCTCTACCCTCCCATTCAGACTGCTACTGGGTCTACCCACTCAGATGTCACATTCCTTCCCAAACCGTGACTTCTCTGCATCTCTCCATCCTTCTCCTGTGGCTTCTGTTTCTTCCACACCCATCCCAACCGGCCCTTTCTTTATTCCCCCTTCCCTTCCTCCCTCTTTTGTGAAAATATCTTACTCATTTTTTGGACAAAAGTTCAACATCTATTGCACAACAAATACAATGCTCTTTAATGTTTTACAAAGAACTATGTATTTTTGTATCTCTGCATGCCTATCTGTATATATACACAGACATACATATAACTTATAATGAGGACGTATGCACTTAGCAGTTGGAGAAAAATGAAGGTGAATTTTTTTTATATTCAGAAAAACTATAATGGACTATAACTTGTGTGAAATTTCCTTCATTTGCTCATTTTTACATGTTTCATTAGCCTCTAGAAAAGTCAGACTCCAATCTGTTTTATATTGTCCTTATTTCATTATCATAATGAAAGTACTTTATTATATGATACATCGTAACTGTAGGGAATTTCTATAACCTTGACATCTTTTTTTTTTTTTTTTAAGATTTATTTATTCATTTATACAAGCACTGGGTACAGTCAGAAGTGCAGGAGGGTGAGAGAATTCACCAGAGCCAGAGCGGGGAGCAGAACAGGCAGACTGATGTATACACTGCTGAGGGGAGCAGGGGGCGGCAGGAGAGGTCTGTCGCGTCATGTGGGACCCTCGCCAGCGGCCGGGGATCGAACCAGCGCTGCAGAGGCTGCAGGCAGCTTGCAGCCCAGTGCTCAACCACTGTGCCACCAGGGGAGGCCCAGCCTTGAAATCTTATTAGCTAGAGATAGTAACTGTTGATATATTGAAATCTTTTTCTAACTTCATCTATTAAGCCAGCTTTCTTTTTTTTAATTTTTTTAAAAGATTTATTTATTTATGCATAAAAGAACTGGGGTACAGGCCAGAGATGTGGGGGGTGAGAGGATTCACCAGAGATACAATGGGGAACAGAACAGGCGGACTGAACGAAATACACTGCTGAGGGGAGCAGTGGGTGAGACAGGAGAGGACTGCTGCATCATGTGGGTTGCTCCCTGGCTGGCCGGGAATTGAACTCATGCTACAGAGGCTGCAGATTGCTTCATAGTGCTGTGCTTAACCCCTTGCACCACCAGGGAGGCCCCCCATCTTTCTTTATTTAAATGGAATTGTACTCTCCATGCTTTGGAGGAAGCTGCTATCTATATTTAAATTTTTTTATTTAAAATACTATGTCCCATGGAGCTTGGTGGATTATTCTCAGGACTCTGGTAGTAGGCAAGATATGAAAACAAACATTTGTAGATGTTTGAACCTATAACCCCTGAAACAAATGTAATGATATAGCAACAATATATATGTATATGTATGAGCTAATGACTTCTTAATAAATAATATGTCTGTGATGCCATTCAGAAATAATAAATGTTCAATATCTTCTAAATATACTCAATGATTAAATAAAATGCAAGCTATGTAGAAATATATAAAATACAAAGAATACAAGAAAATCTCCCACCATTTCTATTCTTTCATAGATACTTTCCCAGATACATACATGTGTGTTTTGTTCCCCACTGTATATAAGTTTTTTCTATTTGCTTATTTCCCCATTGTTTGAAATATCTTGGTTGTTTTTCTGTCAGCATTTATATTGTATTTTTCAGTATTACAAAAATATGTTGTTTACATATCTCTGTGAATGCAGTCTATTTCTTTAGGATACATTCCTAGATTTCTGAGCAGTTAAAATAGCTACTAATTATTAGTAGCTATTAGCTACTAATAGCTCCACCCTAATAACCACCCCAGTCTGCCCTCATATCTGTAGTGATGAGAATTTCCAATTCTCCACCTCTTCCCCAATAGTGACCTTTGCCTATCTTCTTTAATTTTATCCAACTAAGAAACAGAGCATGATTTCTCATTTACATTATTTGAGTCACTAGTGAGGTTCAATAGCTTTTCTCTATCATTTCTTAACCTCTTAGCCAATTTCCAGTTTCAGTCTTACTGTCTTATCTAAAAATAAAAAGCTAGCATCATGTCATGACTTGAAAGAAGAAAGTACGGCGTTCGATCTAAATATGCAGACTTCTATGTTGGGTTTCCTGCTTTCAGTTACCATTTGAATGCTTTTAATATGTGATAAGTGATTATAATGAGTTATGAGGTTGTGATGGTCTAATGATCTTGCCAAGCCTTGCAAATACTAAATACTTCTCAAGTCTAAACCTAGTGGAAACAACCGCTGAGCTTTCACAGCATTATCTTACCTTTCCTGATCTTTGGGATTTCTGTAACATTACTGGGGGGGGGGGTCTATATTTTTCATCATTGATATCTTTCTCCTACATCATTTCCCTACTTACTTTCCAAATATGAACACAAGGCACTCTTGTGTACCAATCTCCTATCTATAGTCAAATCTGTACAATTTGTGGTGCTGTTACAATTCCATTCTTTGTCCCACTCAGCTTTTCAATGACCATGAGAACATAATGTGCTTCTTGCAAGACAAGGTTATTGTGTTGCTTAAGTGTGAAGTGTTTACACACCATGCTCCTCCTTCCTCTCCACCCCCACAGGAGAAGCAAAGAACAGAAAGTATAATCCAGCAAGTTTCCATAGGTTTAATTTGTATGGGGGCCCAACACCGCATTTTAATGATGGAAGAAACATGGCAAAAACTTTACACTGGCTCCAAGAAATGCAAATGTAAGTTTAATTTTATTGTGTTCTGGAACAAGCGTTAGGTATATGACATAGGGACTTAAAGTACATTTTTAAATTTATTTTGCAAAAGGGCAATGCATTGACATGATTCTAACATAAAATTGATAGAAAATGATATACAGTGATATGTCTCCCAAACTGTCCAAATCTCTCTCCATCTGGAGATAAACATCATACTGTTTTATGTATGTGGTATATCTCTATGTATGTATCATTCTAAAGTCACATCATACCTTTATAAGCAACTATGAAGATATACATAAAAGTTTTTAATCTGTGGGATCAACCATATGTATTTCTTTCTTTCTTTTTTTTTTTTTTTTTTTTTTGTGGGACCCTCGTCAGCGGCCGGGGAATGAACTGGCGCTGCAGAGGCTGCGGGCAGCCTCGCAACCCAGTGCTCAACCGCTGCGCCACCAGGGGAGGCCCAACCATATGTATTTCTTAAAGATGATGGACTTTCAAATTTTGCAATGATGTCACATGTAATTGACCTGTCATTTATCATTCAACGTTTTTTAATAGTTATTTGGGTATCTGATCATCTGACTTAACTGTTGCAAACATCTTTCTATGCCTTCATTCTGTATATAGCTACTTACCTACAAAATTAAAAACTTTCCTTAGTTTTTAATTTCCTGTATAATATTTTATATCTAAGGCAGCACTAAAACATTGGGTCATTATTTATAAATATTCTTATTTCTTACTAGACTTTAAAAAATCAGAGATTTGGAAATATCAGCATAGTAGATTGAATGGTGGCATCCCAAAAGGTTTGTCCAATTCTAATTCCCAGAATGTATGACTATTACCTCATATGAGATAATTCTGAATTATCTGGGTGAGTCCTGAATCCAACAACAAATGTCCTTATAAGGGAAAGTCACACAGAGATTAAAGACAGAAGGAAAAGACATACATTGGAGGTGATGTGAAGATGGCAGAGCAGATTGGAGTGATGTGGCCTCAAGCCAAAGAAGCTGAAGAATGTCAATAGCCACCAGATGTTGGAAGAAGCATTGTGTAGATTCTCCTATAGAGTCTTTGAAGGAAATGTTGCCTTGTTGACACCTTGATTTCAGACGTCTGGCCTCCAGAATGTGAGAGAATATGCTTTAGTTGTCTTAAACCACCAGTTTGTGGTAACTTGTTGCAGCAACCACAGGAAACTAATAATATACTGGGTCTGCATTTCTACCTGTCAGTAATGGGAGCGAATTTGTTTTGCCCTCTGCTCTCTTTAAAGGAGGCCCAAGTTTCCATAGGTCCCAGTGTGCACACCAAGTTTACATTCCTACCGGCACCCAACCTGTCTGAGTGTCTCAATCATTGTTTGTCTTCTCTGTTGATAACAACAGCTCCCAGTTATAGAGGCAAAGGGCTGAGTACTTCATATTTTTAATTAAATTCTACCAACAACTCCATGAAGTAGGTGTGCTAATTTTTATCATTCCTATTTAACAAATGAAAAAAGCAGGAAGTGAAAAATTAAAGCATTTGTCCAAGATCATGCAGCTCAGAAGTAGTCGGGGTAGGAAAGAAACCCAGACAGTGTGGCTCTGGTGCCTATCACCCCAATACCAGGTATATAGGGCAATGATTCTGTGACCACAGGCCTTCAATTGTGACTTTCTTTCCTCTTCCAATCCTTTATTATGAGTTTTGGATACCTGGATTCTTTAAACTGTTAACAGTAAACCGTAAACACAAAAGATGTTCTCACAACATCAGTGCATATAAGATCATTTTCCTTAGGATATAGAAGAAGAGCTCATATAACAAATGTTCATTAATTTCTCATCATTGAAAAGGTTCAACCATACATAAAGGAAAACATGAAGAAGTAGTTTAAATATTAATTAATACATTAATACTTGAAGGGAAAAGGCAAACATGATTTATCCAGCTTTGGAAGCTTAGAAATATAAATCTACTATTAATTTACAAAATACATGAAGTAAACACATTATCAACCATATGGTCTTCAAGAATGCCCTAAAAATGGGGTCAGTAACAAGAACATATTAACAGGGATGTGAGGCAGTCATACAAAAATGCAGCAAGGATCCCTAAAACTAATGCAATCTTATATGTCAATTATATCTCAATTTAAAAATATGCTGTTTGTAAGAGCAGACAATGTGCAGACTACATTTCCCTGTAACTTGTCTCTAACCTTAAGGAGACTTTGCTTATGGAACAATGTTTTAATTGATCACATTTTTTTTTTTTTTTGTATTTTGAAACTTGATTGGGAAATTGTTGCTAAAAAAGTTGAGAAATTATTCCTTTGCCTCATCAGGTTTTAAAATGAACTCACTACTTTGCTCTTCAGTGTAATTTCTTTTTTCTTTTTTTTTTTTTTAAAGATTTATTTATTTATTTATAGAAGCACTGAGTACAGTCAGAAGCACGGGAGGGTGAGAGAATTCACCAGAGGCAGAGCGGGGAGCAGAACAGGCAGACTAACAAAATACACTGCTGAGGGGAGCAGCGGGCGGCAGGAGAGGTCTGTGCGCCATGTGGGACTCGCCCTGCCGCCGGGATGGAACCGGCGCTGCAGAGGCTGCGGGCAGCTTCACAGCCCAGGGCTCAAACGCTGCACCACCGGGGAGGACCTCTTCAGTGTAATTTCTATTACAAGCCTGGGGTTAAGCATTTTAAGGCACCTCAGTTTTATAAATTTGACTTACTCAATTTCCAAAGGCTATTTTTCTTCTGTAAAACTATTTCTTTCTTTCTTTTTTTTTTTTAAGATTTATTTATTTATGCATACAAGGGCTGGGGTACAGCCCAGAGATGTTGGGGGCGGGGTGGTGAGAGGATTCACCAGAGACAGAGTGGGGAACAAAACAGGCAGGAAGACTGAAATCCACTGCTTGAGGGGAGCAGCGGGCGAGACAAGAAAGGTCTACTGCGCCATGTGGGTTGCTCCCTGGCGGGCCAGGGATTGTACTCATGCTGCAGAGGCTGTGGATTGCTTTATAGTGCAGTGCTTAACCCCTTGTGCCACCAGGGAGGTCCTGTAAAACTATTTCTGTTATGATCTTTGGTTTGAAGAATGGGATAGAGTCTTTAAATGGTAGATGTGTGTGCAAGCAGATCACAAGTCTCTATGTTTGTGTGTGTGAATGAATTTACTGGCACACAAAGGAATTTGCTCTGAAAAGGTTGGTGAATGCTGTGAGGTTGTGTAATGGTGTTGTAGTTGTCAATATTCCAACATACATGGCTACTCATACACACTTCCTAATTCTCCCAGAATCATAATTCAGGCATATTAAGACCAAAGAGTAGGTTCTAGGATTTATAGTCCTTACCCTTATCATCCCTGCATGTCCCTAATTATGGCCATTGGAGCTGGGTTTTAGATTGTCAGCTTTGTTCAAATTATCACCCTTCAACTGATAATTATTTATTCCAAACTTTTTTCCTTTTTCTTAAACTAATGAAAAGTAAGAAAGAATTACTTTGTATTTCATCTTTTGTTTCTCCACAGAGTGTCACTCTTCTCCAGAAAATTATTCAGCTCCATAGTTCCATGGTACAGGAAATACTTTTAAAAGCAATGGGATTTAGGAATTTAATGTTCATTGTTTTTAGTCTTGGCAAAACAATGGAGAATTTATTAATTTTAATGTTGTAAAATAGTAGTGTTGTGATTTTACAATTCTCAAAAGAAATCTTATTCATTTAATTACAATAATAGAAGTAACAAAATTATAGTACAGAAAATTGACAAAATAAAATTACCCATAATCCTGTCACCTTAATTCAACCATTATTATCTTTTTAATGTATTTCTTTCTACTGTGGTTTTCTGTATAGAGTTTTGCATAGCTTTAATCAGAGTGCAATTCCATTTTATATCCTGCTTTTTCACCTAACAGAAAATGATTTTCTATTGCTGTGTGTTCTTAATAACCAACATTTAAAATGCATAGAGTGCATTCTTGTTAATGTGACATAATTGAATCTTCATGATTGAACATGTAGATTTTTTCCACTAAAGTCAATGAAGCTACAAACATTTTTATACACACAACTTTTCCATATTTTCAATTATGTGGACTATCTGCTTATGAATGGCCCTTAAACATGGATAAAAGGGTAGGAACATTTCAATGTGTTTTTTGTTCACATTGCCAAATCATTTCCAAAAGGATTATAATAATTGTACTGACAATCTACAGGTGTTTTACCATACATTTTGTGATCATTAGCTACCTCTTCATGTTGTCTGTTACCTGTGTGTGTGTGTGCACTTATTCACTATGTTAACTGTGTTACTATGTTAAAATTTATTTTATTTACTAGAGTTTTATATTTTCTCCAGATAATTTGCTTACTAGATGTGAGTTATCATTTTATTTCCTTGGGCTATTTGATTCTTATTTTTTAGTAATTTTAAGAGTTACACTTACAATATTGATGTTAACATTTTGATTTTGTTTACTGAAAACCATTTTAAGTCTGCTTGTCTATTCTTTAAGCTTTTACATTAAATTTATATATGATTTTATAATAGAATGTAGATAGAAGAATGAGCACATGAACTTTGCATTTTAGCAAAAAATTTCTTTTGAAAGCAGATTTGTATTTTGACGGCCAAATAATGCTAGAGCATTCGTCGCCAAATGGATATTTGATAACCAATAATACCTTAGGTAATAAAGATATCTGACTTTTTTCTAACTTTATAGGAAAAAAGGAGCTAAGATTGTATCTAAGAGAGTGGATGATTTCAAAGAAAAGTTTCAACATAAACTTGGAAGAGTTTTAGATCCGTAAGTTAATTAAATTCAAATTGATAGCGTCTTTGGATGAAATTGATAGTGTCTTTGGATCATGTCTTATGGGAATGTTGGTTTATGTTCTATTAGTTTTTATCTATTAAATAAGAAAGTTATTCTTTTGTGTTAGGAAGGAACTTTATTAGCTTATATGGAGCTTGGGGTTCCAGGAAAGTATAGAGAAGTACTTAAGGAAGAGGGAGGGAGAATTTTGGGTAAAACTTTATTTCTGGATATCAGAAAGTGAACTTACTGAGTTACATTTTTCTCTCCCTTTCCTGTCTTTCTCAGTCTCTCCACATATATCTCTCCATAATTCTGCTTTGAACATACTCTGTTTTTTCTTTTTAAATTTGAACTATGAAAGCCAGTAAAGGCACTCAGACCATTGGTAATGTGAGTTTAGACAAAAGACATATTGGAGAACTTCTATTGAATCTTCACAGTTTGGTTATAGGAGAAAATATAGGCCATTAAAAGTATGCAGCATATGTTTTAGATTCCAGGGATGCCATGTGGTTGGTATTTTGACTAATGATATTTTTTTTGATAGCATTGCAGAAACAATGAATGTTCCCCCAGACCACACATTTGGAGCCTGTCTCCGTCCTGAAGAATACGGTAAATATACAAACTTTCTCTTAATAAAACAATAAAAAAATCTTCAAAAAGTAATGCAATTAAGGTCATCCTCTCCTTGTCTGAAAGTTTCTATTTTTAAAACTTTAAAATGTTACTTTAACTTTATTGAGAAAAATACAGCACAAGAAAAAAATGATTTTTCATATTATATGTGATACAGGTGCAGTTCAAAGTCCTTGTAATGAATACCTTCAATGCAGTTGAGGCTCTGAATTTTATTTAGAAAATAAATATGACCAGTATTGAAAAAGTCAAATCAAAGGAAGCAGCTTTGTAATTAATTTAAATATTATATTAGACTTTTGCTACTCAGGATGTGGTCTGTAGATGGACAGTAAAGGAGTCTCCTCCAAGCTTCTTAGAAATGCAAGATCTCAGGTTCCGCTTCAGCCCTATAATTAGAAACTGCACTTTAACACTATTTCCAGATGAATTGCAAGCACATTCGAGTTTGAGAAAGCACTGTATTCTACAATCACATAATTAAGAACCACTCCTCCCACCAGCCAATCGTCAATCAACCAGACCATAAAGGGACAGCTTACTAGGTTTTTGTTTTTATTTCTAGGCAATCTAAACATCAGACATTCAAAGGGAAAAATATGCTAAAGCTTAGTAGAATTAGGCTATAAGTCAGGAGCTTTCAAAATGCAGTCTGCAGTCTACTTGCATTAAAATCACTCAGGGAGCTTATTAAATATGCAGGTTCTTGGGACCCATGCCCAGATATACTGATTTAGTAGTTTCTTATGTACACCAAAGTTTAAGAACCACTATTGAAAATGTTTTAGCTAAAGTCTACTCACTGACAAATAAAATAAATATTGATTGAGCTTATTTCACATTGGAGCATCATTAATTGTCACATTAAGAGGTTGTATTTTGCTTTTTTTTTTTTTTTAAATGAACTGTTAAGTGTTTAATGGATGCATTTTAGAGGCTCTTCATACCTGTAGGAGGGGGCAAGGGGTGATTTTGTAAGCCCATCAATCAGCCTGAAATATACACTGGTAATGAGGGTAATCGCTTCCTGTTTGAGGGCAGGCTTCATGCAGGTGGGTACTCTGACTTGCTGCCTACTGTACTTTTGAGATGTAGCAACAGGAGGTTTTCTACCAATAGCATGAATCAATGAGTTCAACACATAGTTTGTCATTTTAATACCATTAACAAATTTCTTCTTAGTTGATCCACATTATCCTAATAAATTGATAAGATGCTATTATGAAATGAAAAGGAAGTCTACAACAATAATTTAAAAAAAATGTAAGTATCACTATCAGTCTTGGTGTTGCATGGCGGAACTATGAAAGGGGATTATAAATCCTTGCTGGACATTTTCTGGAGCTCATGGATGGATGTGGATTAACTTTAGTGTCTAGCCTTTTGTAATTTCTCTTGGGGGATCAACTAATAGCATCTATTCCTTGGAAAAGTCAGCATTTGCCTGTTTCCTGCTTCCAGGGACATATTGGTTTCTATATGGTCCTGTATTCTCCCATACTCTTGCTTAGGAAATAAAGGTAGTGACACAAAGAATGCTTCATCCCTAAGGGCTTACTGATTGTGCTAAGAGCCTCCAAAAAGAGTTCAAAGGCTTACCCAACTCCCAGAATGCACTAGGGCAGAGGCAACTTTAAGGAGCATCTAGGGCTGGTGGACCATGGAGTATCATAGGAATTGGTTGCAGGTGAAGTATAATTGCTGTGCCTTCTCAATTTTTCTGACTGTCATGGTGTGGCAACTAGGTCATGGGTCTCTAGCCAGAGCTTATACTCCTGACTTCAACTCTGTAGAGATGACTTTTGAGTAATTGCAAATGAGTTGACATGAGCTTCCTAAATATTCTTTCAGTCAAGGGCAGGATAGGGTATAATCATATGTCTCACCAATCAGGTAGTTACACCTGTTGGAGTTGTAGTGGGAAAACCAGATGGAGTTGCAAAAACAACCACTCAAATGGTTATCTTTGGATGTTAGTGGAGAGTGATGGCCTCTGAAGGTAAAAATAATCAACCAAGGGCTATCCCATAGAAAAGGGAGAACCTGTTATACATAGTAGCCATCCAAAAGGTATCTGGAGGATGAAACAATGCTTAAAGATCATCCCTTAATCATCTTTATTTCCCCTCCCAGATCCTTACTTTTGTTTTGACCACTTTTAGGAGGCTTTGATGGTAATTGGCCCCATTACAGATGATCTTGGTTTGAGGCACTTGTCCAGCTCCTGAAACCAGTAATAGTTGTGGAAATTTCTGCCTCAGGGTACCCTTAAATAGAAGACTTTATCAGAATGTGTGTCATTAACTTCTGATTTTATAATAAGAACCTTAAAAGTGCTGTGAGTACCTATTAAAAGAGACACTTGATAGAGACTAATGCGTACAGAGTAGGAATCAGCATTAGTGCCTTGCACTGCAATTAATGTTATGATTTCAGTTAATCCTCAGGATACTACAGTGACCTACAAGCATAATCCTACCCCCAGAAAGCAAGAAGGGAGGGCGTAGGCCAGAGGGAAATGATGATGTCCATCAAACCACCACATCTAATGCAGCATGGTCAACTCAAGTCTGATCTTGTTAACATCAACATGCAAGGAATGTTTTCCAAAAAAGAATGTCAAGGAATGGGGTTTTAGGCTGTGTGTGTGTGTGTGTGTGTGTGTGTGTGTGTGTGTATGTCATAATTCAGGGAAGTTTCTTTACAATATGAAGGACAAATAGAAACAGAGAGAGGTAGCATGTAGAATGGAGAGTTTACTTTTTTTTTTTGGAGAACTGAGTTCCTTGCAGGTCAGGACTCAGCTAGTGGAGCTGAGGGTCAGGGCAGGTGTCCTGGGCTGCTGATGGAATAGGGAGAATCAGGACTGAGAAATGGGGATTTGATTGATATCCAGACCAAAATCTCATATTAAGAGGGGGTAGGGATTTTGAGTATTCCAGAGGTTCAATCAACTCCAAGGCACACAGAGTGGCCCCAACGTATATTCAACCCCAACTTCCAGATTCTCAGCATCGCAGATAAATGTCTGCTTAGAGGCAGCCTGGAAAGGCCTTTGCTGTCTTAGGAGTTAACAGCTGATGGGGCTGATGATTCCTCCACAAAAATTTTGGGAAATTTTTTTCCCCAAAATTTGTTCATTGAGTAGAGTAGTTACATAAACAAAAACTAATTTTTGTCAAGTACTCTAGTACCTTTTTAGCCACAAAAATTTCTGTCATGCTGCATAATGGTGATCAAAGTTAGGTATGAGGTTTTTCATTCTTGCAAGTTGCTAGACGAGAATATGACTGGCAAATTTAAATTCACATAAAAGACTTTGTTTTCCCCTCATCAATAGGAGCTGGTGATCTCATCCATAATAGACGTCCTGGTGAATATCTTCGAGGCAAGGATAGACAGCGAGCCCTGATTTCAGCAGTTCGACATCACTTTAAGAAAGTTAACTACCAAAACTTTGACACCCTGCTGTCTGCCTTCCGGCACTATGATAAGGCCAGTAATAATGCAGAAAATTTTGGTCTGTGCGTGGGCTCACATGTCCCAGCAGGTTGGTGTAGATCAGGGATGAGCAACCCTGGCCTGTGGGTCAAATTCAGTCCACCACCAGTTTTACATGATTATTTGTTTGAAGTATGATCTATGGCTGCTTTTGCATTGCAAATACAGGTTGTAAAATAGAGATTTAGTGGCCTACAAAACCTAAAATATTTATTATCTCACCCTTGACAAAAGGATATGCCAACCCCTGGTGAGGATCACTGGTTGCCAAAATGTGATTCTTGTACCACCTTCAGCATCACTTGGGAATGTGTAGAAATAGATCTAAGGCCCATGCCAGGACCTTAATTAGCAATTTTGGGCTGGGACCCAGTAATTGTGTTTTTATAAGCCCTTTTGGACGGTTTTGATGCACATTCATTTGAGGACCACTGTTGTAGATGATTATACTATAGTACCAGCACTGTGGATCCCAGGGAGTCTCCTGGTGTGTAGATATAATCTCTACCATCAATCCAGGTCCACCTCAGGCTTAAAAGATCCCTTTCTCTGGGGAGCAAGATAGGGTTTTAGTTTTGAGAGAACAAAATCTTTTAATTTCAAGCTATTCTAAATTTTATCCTTTGATAAAGTCAGATCAATTGAGGGCTGTATAATTACCTTATTCCATTTTAGGCCATCATAGAATTGCTATTACTAAACTGCACTGTCTTGAGCTTACAGGAGGGAACACTATCATAGAAACTGCTTGTGAAACGCGACACAGTTTTTCTTAATATGTCCACGAAACATGCTTTTTGTCACATGCATCCTCTTTATAAAAAAACCCAGTTTTTCTGAAAGTGAAAACTTTCTTCCATCTAAATATCTCATTTGTTTTTACCTTGCAAACAGCGTGAGTTTTGTGCTGATTGTGCATACCTTTTTGACTTGGCCAATGAAACACATCTAATTTGTGAGTGTGATCTTATATATTTTACATGCTATTTTAATTTTATTTGTTATTTTTTAAAAAGATTTTATTATTTATGCATACAAGAGCTGGGTTATAGGCCAGAGGTTCAGGGGGTGAGAGGATTCACCAAAGGCAGAGTGGGAGACAGAACAGGCTGATTGAAATAAACTGCTGAGGGCAGCAGCGGATGAGACAGGAGAGGTCTGCTGCACCATGTGGCTTAGCTCCCTGGCCAGCTCAAACTCATGCTGCAGTGGCTGGCGATAGCTTCAGAGCACTGAGACTTAAACCTTTGCATGGCCAGGGAGGCCCTATATGTTATTTTTATTTCAGTTTTCACCTGATCACCCCCTCCCCATCCTTTTCTTTGCCCTAATTTTCCCACTTTTGGGGTTCTATTTATTTTTTAACATAACCTCAAGGTTTTATTATCTTTGTAATAAACAAAAGATGAAGCTTAGAACTGGTTCATTTGACCCTTCTCCTCTTCTCTCCTCCCAGTTGAAAATGTTTATGTCTTTTAATAGTCAACATTCTCTTAGCTCTATAGTTGGGCTCAACACAATCAGTCTTCAGCCCAGTTTTCTTTGTAGAAAATTGGCTTGTCTGCCTACCATGGCCACTCTGCCTCCCCTGGGCATATAGAAAATCCTGACCCTTCTTGAACTGTGTCACTTATGGGGTTGATGCTTGTCACACTTCTTACAGGAAGTCCAGCTGCTTGAAGGTGCACCCACCATACTTCCCAGGACACTATTGCATAGAAAACTGTCTCTGTTTAATTGTACTTACTTTTGTAGGCAGACTCAAAAACCACTTTAGAATGAGTCTAATGTAAACAAATAAAAGCTCATAAATCAACCAGTGATGTTGCAGTGTATTCTAACTGATTTAAGAAGAAAAATTAGCAGAGTAATTGAGGTTTAAGAGAGGATAATATTCCTGTCTCTCTTCCAAATGTGACTACAATTTTGGAAAAGTTACACTAAACTTTTTTTTTATCTGGAAAAAAACTTGATTCATTTTAAACTTTTTTTTTTAAATTGATTAGAGGCTTGTGTGCCTGCATTGTACTGAAGTTTGTCCTAATTATGTAGGGACAGCTACACTTTTCACTAAATTGTATTTAAAGAAAATGTAAGTAATTTAATAGGGGAGCCTCTGAATTTTTTAAACTAGAGATCAATTGGTGTTTTACCAGTATACATGAGTCTTCAGAATTAAAATAAGTATATATATATTTTATTATTTTAAGGGTTTTTTTTTTCTGGAAAAAAATCCAAACTTATATTTGTATAAATATAAAAATTGCTAATATGTATAACTCTTGTGAATTTATAGAAAATGCTTTTTTAGCATTACGCTTATTACAAATATGGTTGGGAGATATTCTCTTTAAGGTTTTTCTTTTGTTAATTTGCTCAATGCAATCATGAATAGGCAATATATATACATAATATTGTGTTAAAATTATATTTAATTTTGAATGAATAATTCTATTTCACCTCATTTTCCTACAACTTTTTTTTAAATTAATAATAAATTTTATTTTTATATTCCCCATACAATTTCAACCCCCCCATTCTGACCCCAGTCCCTCCCCTCCTGCCCCCCAACCCCCAAAAAAGTGTCTCTGGTTCATAGTTTTTTGTTGATTTTGATTTTCACTTTCTTACAGTTATTCATTTTCCTGGTCCCTTATTTAAGTTTTCTAGATTCCTGCTATGAGTGAGACCATCCGGTATTTTTCTTTTTCTTTCTGGCTTATTTCACTGAGCATGATCCCTTCCAGCGCCATCCATGTTGCTGCAAATTGCATGTGTTTATCTTTTTTAAATGCTGAGTAATATTCCATGGTATATATGTACCACATCTTCTTGATCCAGTCATCTATTTTTGGACATCTGGGCTGTTTCCAAAGCTTAGCTATTGTAAACAGTGCTGCTATAAACATAGGGGTGCAGGTGCTCTTTGGAATTGATGTTTCTGTGTCCTTTGGGTAAATACCTAGGAGTGGAATTGCTGGATCATATGGAAGCTCTATGTTTAGTAGGTCCAGAAATCTCCACACAGCTCTCCATAGTGGTTGGACCAGTTTGCACTCCCACCAACAGTGAAGAAGAGTTCCTTTTTCTCCACACCCTCGCCAGCATTTGTTGTTGCTAGTTTTTTTAATATGTGCTATTCTCACTGGTGTGAGATGGTATCTCATGGTAGTTTTGATTTGCATTTCCCTGATGACAAGTGATAATGAACATTTTTTCATATGCCTGTTGGCCATTTGCATTTCCTCTTCAGAGAACTTTCTTTTTAGCTCTTCTGCCCATTTTTTGACTGGATTATTTTCTTTGTTGTTGTTGAGTCTCATCAGCTCTTTGCAGATTTTTGTGATCAGTCCTTTATCATTAGTGTTGTGTGCAAAAATGTTCTCCCAGTTGGTGGGGTTTCTCTTTGTTTTTGTTATTGTCTCTTTTGCTGTGCAGAAGCTCTTTAATTTGATGTAGTCCCAGCTGTTTATCTTTGCCTTCACTATCACTGCTTTGGGTGATGTGTCTGTAAAGATGTCTTTGATGTGCAAATCACGTAGTGTTTCGCCTATATTTCCTTCTATATATTTTATGGTTTCAGGTCTTATGTCTAGTTCTTTAATCCACTTTGAGTTGATTTTTGTGTATGGTGTGAGGTAGTGGTCAAGCTTCATTCTTTTGCATGTAGCGACCCAGTTTTTTAAGGGTTTTTTTTTGAAAAAAAAAATTTGTTTATCCTTTTTATGGTTTCAGGTCTTATGTCTAGTTCTTTAATCCACTTTGAGTTGATTTTTGTGTATGGTGTGAGGTAGTGGTCAAGCTTCATTCTTTTGCATGTAGCGACCCAGTTTTTTAAGGGTTTTTTTTTGAAAAAAAAAATTTGTTTATCCTTTCTTTTAATTGTGGTAGCATTAGGATTCTCTTCATCAGGTAACAGCACTGAAGGTTGCCTGCCACTGGCTCACCCATAATTCACCACCATAGTCCGTTGTGCTTCCTTCCCTTTTTGCTCCTACCCCTCCTGCCTTTCTTCTCCCCTTTGGATGCTTCAGTTCTACAGAGAACCCCAGTTCTCAAGGGTTAGCTTTTAAGATGGTCTTTCTCTGGTTTCTAGTTTGGTTTCTCTCTACTCCACTTTAAAGTAAGTAGATTTTAAATTTTAATCAAATTCAAATATCTTACAAAAATGTTATTGGGGGAGATTTACTTACTAGTGATATAAATAAGAGAATCTACTACAATACATAACACTCCATGCTTAAAAAAAAAATCATTTTCATTTTAAATGTAATTATAGGCAAAATGATTATCTTAATAGCTGTTGATTATCTTAGTGAACCACCGGGCACATTCCTTATGATAAAATTAAATAAGCAGGGAGGAAATTACTGAGAATTATTTAATGCTGATATACCTTTTAAATAGTTAACTTTTAATATGCACAATTTAGAGCTCAGTGTCCTTGAGGAGCTTTTTTTCTGAGAGGGTAATAAGATTTTGGTCTTTCTAGTATAGCTGTAGGATAATTTTTGATGATTTGAATCTTACATTGTTGGATACCCAGATTTAATTTAATGGAAAACCAAAACAAAACAGAACAAATAAGCTGCTGTTTCCTAAATGAATCTTCTTAGATGATAAGTTTAACTGTTATTTATGAAACACTCAGCAATACATCAATCATTATTCTAGATAATACATAGACCTTCCACTCAGGGAAATGAAAATCTAAAGGGTGGAAATAAAAGGCGTGTCATGTTCTGGAATCGTCATGGCAGAATCCCCAAATTTTCAAAATAGGTCTATATAATTAACCCTGAGTCTTTTCATGCTCATTATTATCAAGGAAGTAACTGTGATGGAATGACCCCTTCCTGGGCACAGCAGCATTCAGTAACAAAATTGCTTTACTAAAATATGTGAACTAGGAGCTGATGAGGAAGGTAGACAGCTTTGAGAAGGCCATTCCAAAGCTCAGTGATACCAGACGACTGTGAGGGTTGGAAGCAGGAAAGGCTCATTGAATACCTTGACTGACAGGTCATTGTTGAGTAGCTTTTATTGCCATAAGGCATATCACCGTCAGACTGAGAACGGGTAGGACAGCAAAACACATGACTCAGATTAATTTCATGGGCCATACTGTTATGACAGGAGCCAACTGACTGGAATAGCAATTCCATTAGTTGAATATGTGTCACAATGTGATGCACCATCAGTGTGTCTGAGTGGGACAAACGTTTCATGTGATCACTCTGTCAGGAGCATGGGGGCAATGCCTGGTGCATGCTACACCCTCCTTACCCTGAGACTAATAGGTCAGCATTTGGCAGCAGTCACAAGTTTGGCATGTGATGGTAGCCAGGGGTGGAGAGTGCTTTACCTTGTACCGTGTCTGAAATGGTGGCTGTGTTGTCACGTCTGGTGCAATGACGTATCCAGGCAGCAGTGTTGGTGATCTAGAAGGTTCGGGCTCAGCCAGAAGCTCAATCCCAGTCATTCTCATCAGAGAATATACCCTTGTTGTGGGTGTTTATACTAATATCCAGGTAGTTTAATCAGCAGCCATAAATTTGCTTCCACAGTTTCTAGACTCAAAAAAAGAAATGTCTTTAATTTTCCAAGTGGAAAAATTAAAAAGATAGGCCATTGGCATCAGTCCCAGAGTCAATGAAAATATAACAGTTTTATCTAGTGGAGCATTGGCCAGTCATAAGAATAACCTTAAGTTCTGCCCAGCAAGTAGAGTGTCTTCCCATTTTTTTGTCCTTCAGAGTTCTCCCTGACACTGAAAGACAGCAGCCCAGTGAAGAGCACTGAGTTTCATATTAGTGAATTAGGCCCAGGACTTAGGGAAGCCTCTGTGAACTGAGGGTTCTATTGAGCCAGTGGCTTTACTACAGATGGCAAGGTGAATAAAAACATGACTTTTCCCCCAAAAGGATTGTTCTCTTTTTTTTTTTTTTTTTTTTTTTTTAAAGATTTATTTGTTTATGTATTTATACAAGTACTGGGTACAGTCAGAAGCGTGGGAGGGTGAGAGAATTCACAGAACCAGAGCAGGGAACAGAGCAGGCAGAAGGACCGAAGTACACTGCTGAGGGGTACACTGCTGAGGGGAGCAGCGGGCAGCAGGAGAGGTGTGCGCACCATGCGGGACCCTCCTCTGGTGACCAGGGAGCAGCCGGGGATCGAACTGGTGCAGCAGAGGCTGCGGGCAGCTTCGCAACCCAGCGCTCAACCGCTGCGCCACCGGGGAGGCCCAGGATTGTTCTCTTTTTTTCATGTAAAGCTGAGATGTTACTAGGGCCTTGCTGGGTGGTTTCTTGAAGATAACATTACCTCTTCACAAATGAGACTTATTGAGCCCTTTATACCTTGTTAGTTACTGAATCCAAGTTGGCTGACTTCAAAACAATGATCATATGGAGAGTCACAAGACATTGAGGCATCAAATGTTCAGTTTCAACAAGAGCTCAGTAACAGGCAAATGGAAACTGATAACCAAGTTAGGAAGGCAGTGAGTCCTAAACTTCAAGACACAAGCCCAGTGGAGGTTGCATCTTTTTTGTAGATGTTTTCATTGTCAAAGCCATAACAATAGGGCCTCCCTGGTGGCCCAAGGGGTTAAAAACGCAACCTATGTAGCTATCTGCAGCCACGCAGCACAAATTCCATCCCCAGCCAGGGAGCTACCCACATGGTGCAGCAGACCTCTCCTGACTCACCTGCTGCTCCCCTCAGCAGTGTATTTCAGTCATTCTGCCTGTTCTGTTCCCCACTCTGTCTCTGGTGAATCCTCTCACCTCCCATACCTCTGGCCTGTACCCCAGTTCTGTATGCATAAATAAATAAATCTTTTAAAAACAAAACATTAGCCATAGACTTGTAGCTCAATGGGGGTTTTAATAGTGTGGTACTAGCAATTCTCTACATGTGACCTCTGGCAGTTATGAATGTTCACAATACAGCCATGTAAAGCGTTAATACCAACTATGCATTCAGCGGTGTAAAGACCATTACCTGAGTCCAGGTATTCACCCCTCACCTCTTGGGACTAAGTAGGATGACGACTTTGGCACCCATATCTAATGAAGCCATCAAAGTTTGAGTCTCCAACCCCTATAGTTCCAAAACATACTTAGACAGATGCATATGACCTTTGGTTAACCTTGGGGATAGGGTGATCTTGGTTGCACATCTAGGCTTCTTTCTCCTTAAAGCAGCTGAGGTTGAGGTATGGGGGATGGAGAGATCAAGGGTGCAGAGGGACAGAGTGGCTGCACTTGCTATGTGTGGTGATTGCCTGCAGCTGACTGGAAACGAACCGCCAATGGTCTCAGTCCACACAAAACCTATATTCAGCAGCAAAGTCACTGTTGCTGTCATTATCTGTTTCAGTTTTGGGACCTCTTGATTCAAAGGCCACACTCCACATTGTTTTTGAACTGAGTCTGTGGTGTTTGCGTTTTTTTTGTTGACTTGGTCTTGCAGCAGAGACTTTTATAAAGGAGGCTACTTTCATCCAGGGCTTGTAGTTCCATTGTTAGGATATGTTTTAAACTCATTTTCTGTTTCAACATAAGAGTTAGAGACATGTTCTAGGGTTAAGGGCATAACCACAGGAATTTTTCCAGAATTCATTGGGCAAGTTCTCATTCTCCAGGGTATCACCTTCATCAGCATTGTAAATTCAATCCTGGGCCTAAGAGCTGAATACTAGTCAATGAGACATTTATGGTTTCCCTGGGGAGTTTGTCAGTCTTGGAGAAACTCTGAAAAGGCTTAAAGGTCCTTTTTTGCAGGCAGGACACACTGCAAAAATATTCAGGCCTTTTGCTGTCATTTCCCCATGGATTTAAGGTTGACTTGCTAAACTACAGGAAGGGGGCTAAATGGTAAAATGTCCCAGTTCCTGCTGTCCTTCCTTAACAGGGACTATGTTTTCTGCCCCTCACCTCCCTAGTGAATCAGCCAGTTTCTGCCTAGAGCCTTCATAAATTTCCCTCATTTCACATTCTGTGTATGTGTATGCTCCTGACTTTATCGTCTGTAAACCCCCTCTACCTTCTGCCTCCTCCCCAACAAACCTTGCAGTTACCAGGATGAATCTCACTGCTAATTGTTACAATGGAGGCTGGTTGCCAGATCAGTAGCACTTCCCTCTTGCCCAGAGGAGTGTTGGCAACACCAGGCAACTATTTTAAATCCACTTCCCTGTACGTGACCTGCCAATACCTCTCCAATTTCTCCAGAGGTGTGGAAAACTTTGAAAGCATGGAAAATTGTAGTGATCTGTGACATGGGCACTGGTCAAATGAAATATCAAGCACATATCATGGTTAGACCTGCTCTTTCACAGCGTAAACACATGATTTAAAGACAAAATTTATTTAAATAAAATTTAAAAGTCAAGATTTTAAATCCTATGATTCAAAGTCACACCCTACTCCAACTAAGTTGAAATTACTGTGGACATATCAGGTTGACACGAAGAGCACCAATTTCACTTAGTATTTCTTAGTATTTAACTCCTCTTACGTGAAAATTCTTTGAATTTATATGATAGAACTCTTTTCTTAAACTAAGTAACAGATGTTGCATAACTCTCCTTTTGAAGACTGCTCATTTTTTCTTTCTCTTTTGTGTCCAACAGAAGGGAGATGGGATGATAGATAAAGATGAGCTTCGGGAAGCTTGTGAACAGATCAACTTGCATTTAGATGAGAAACTCCTGGACCAGCTATTTGAGTACTGTGATGTGGATAATGATGGACTGATTAACTACCTAGAATTTGCAAATTTTCTGACCTGGAAAGATAAAATGCCTCCTCAGGAATCTGAAAAGAGGGTCATTATTACAGGTATTGAATTTTAAAGAGTTGCTAAATTTTCAAACGGACTATGATATTTTCTTTTTTCTGGGAGCTCAACATTTGTGAACTTTAATATTATATATTTTAAAGCATGCACATATGTACATATATTTATTTGTTTATGCCTAGAGTATCTACAGAATGATAGGAAAGAATTTGATAACATTTATTATTTCTAGGAAGGGTAGTTGACAGTAAGGGTGGCCCTGAAATTCATTTTTTCCCTAGTATTTTTGCATAGTTTGTATTTGTGACAATGCATTATTCATTTAAAAGAAAAAAGTTAAAAGTGAAAAAAAACCTTACACTGAAACCCCAACTGTAAAAGACAGTTCCACAGAAAGTTGTTTTTATTTTTTATTTTTTTTTTTTTTTATTTTTTTAAAGATTTATTTATTTATTTTTTTATTTATTTATTTTTTTTTTAAATATTAAATTTTATTTTTATATTCCCCCATACAATTGCAAACGCCCCATTCTGACCCCAATCCTTCCCCTCCCGCCCCCCCCCAAAAAGTGTCTCTGGTTCATAGTTTTTTGTTGATTTTGATTTTCACTTTCTTATATTCATTTTCGTGGTCCCTTATTTAAGTTTTCTAGATTCCTGCTATGAGTGAGACCATCCGGTATTTTTCTTTTTCTTTTTGGCTTATTTCGCTGAGCATGATCCCTTCCAGCGCCATCCATGTTGCTGCAAATTGCATGTGTTTATCTTTTTTGAATGCTGAGTAATATTCCATGGTATATATGTACCACATCTTCTTGATCCAGTCATCTATTTTTGGGCATTTGGGCTGTTTCCAAAGCTTAGCTATTGTAAACAGTGCTGCTATAAACATAGGAGTGCAGGTGCTCTTTGGAATTGATGTTTCTGTGTCCTTTGGGTAAATACCTAGGAGTGGAATTGCTGGATCATATGGAAGCTCTATGTTTAGTAGGTCCAGAAATCTCCACACAGCTCTCCATAGTGGTTGGACCAGTTTGCACTCCCACCAACAGTGCACAAGAGTTCCTTTTTCTCCACATCCTCGCCAACATTTGTTGTTGCTAGTTTTTTTAATATGTGCCATTCTCACTGGTGTGAGATGGTATCTCATGGTAGTTTTGATTTGCATTTCCCTGATTACAAGTGATGTTGAACATTTTTTCATATGTCTGTTGGCCATTTGCATTTCCTCTTCAGAGAAGTTTCTTTTTAGCTCTTCTGCCCATTTTTTGACTGGATTATTTTCTTTGTTGTTGCTGAGTCTCATCAGCTCTTTGCAGATTTTTGTGATCAGTCCTTTATCACTAGTGTTGGGTGCAAAAATGTTCTCCCAGTTGGTGGGGTTTCTCTTTGTTTTTGTTATTGTCTCTTTTGCTGTGCAGAAGCTCTTTAATTTGATGTAGTCCCAGCTGTTTATCTTTCTCTTCACTATCACTGCTTTGGGTGATGTGTCTGTAAAGATGTCTTTGATATGCAAATCCCGTAGTGTTTCGCCTATATTTCCTTCTATGTATTTTATGGTTTCAGGTCTTATGTCTAGTTCTTTAATCCATTTTGAGTTGATTTTTGTGTATGGTGTGAGGTAGTGGTCAAGCTTCATTCTTTTGCATGTAGCGACCCAGTTTTCCCAGCACCATTTATTGAACAAACTTTCTTTGCTCCAATGCATAGTCTTTGCTCCTTTGTCAAAGATTAGTTGACCATAAATCTGTGGGTTTATTTCTGGATTTTCTATTCGATTCCATTGGTCTGTATGTCTGTTCTTGTTCCAATACCATGCAGTTTTGATGATTATGGCTTTGTAGTATAGTTTGAAGTCTGGGAGTGTGATGCCTCCATTTCCTTCTTTTTTTTTTCAGTAGAGCTTTGGCTATTCGGGGTTTTTGGTGATTCCATATGAATTTCATCAATAATTGTTCTATTTCTTTGAAGAATGCCATTGAGATTTTGATTGGAATAGCATTGAATCTGTATATTGCTTTTGGTAGGATGGCCATTTTAATAATGTTTATTCTTCCAATCCATGAGCAGGGGATGTCTTTCCATTTCTTTGTGTCTTCTTCTATTTCTTTTAACAGTGTTTTATAGTTTTCTTTGTATAGGTCCTTTACCTCTTTTGTTAGATTTATTCCCAAATATTTGATTTTTTTTGTTTCGATAATAAAAGGGGTGGTTTTTTTGATTTCTTCTTCTTCAGATTTATTGTTTGTGTATAGGAAGGCTACTGACTTTTGCGTGTTGATTTTGTATCCTGCCACTTTACTGAATTGATTGATGAGTTGAATTAGTTTTTCTGTGGAGATTTTGGGGTTCTCTATGTATATTATCATATCATCTGCAAATAGTGATAGTTTGACTTCTTCTTTTCCTATTTGGATTCCTTGGATGTCTTTCTCTTGTCTTATTGCTCTGGCTAGGACTTCCAGTATTATATTGAAAAGCAGTGGTGAGAGTGGACATCCTTGTCTTGTTCCAGATCTTAATGGAATTGCTTTCAGCTTTTCACCATTGAGAATGATACTGGCTGTTGGCTTGTCATAGATGGCCTTTATGATGTTGAGGTATGTTCCTTGTATCCCAAGAATTTCAAGGGCTTTTATCATGAATGGGTGTTGCACTTTGTCGAAAGCTTTCTCAGCATCTATTGATATTATCATATGGTTTTTATATTTCTTTTTGTTGATGTGTTGGATAACGTTGATTGATTTTCGGATGTTAAACCATCCTTGTGCCCCTGGAATGAATCCAACTTGGTCGTGGTGAATTATCTTATGGATACATTGTTGGATTCTGATAGCTAAAATTTTATTGAGGATTTTTGCATCAGTGTTCATTAGGGAGATTGGCCTATAGTTTTCCTTTTTTGTGTTGTCCTTATTCGGTTTTGGTATTAGTGTAATATTGGCTTCATAGAACGTGTTTGGTATTGTCCCTTCCTTCTCAATTTTTTGGAAGAGTTTGTGAAGGATAGGCACTAATTCGTCTCTGAATGTTTGGTAGAATTCATTTGTAAATCCATCAGGTCCTGGGCTTTTGTTTTTGGGGAGGTTTTTAATTACCATTTCAATTTCGCTGCTTGTAATTGGTCTGTTTAGGTGTTCTATTTCTTCTTTATCTAGCTTTGGGTGATTGTAGAGTTGTAGGAATTTGTCCATCTCCTCTAGATTGTTAAACTTGTTTCCATATAACTGTTCATAGTAGTTACTGATTATTCTTTTGATTTCTGCTGTGTCCGTTGTGATTTCTCCTCTTTCATTTATGATTCTGTGTATTTGTGCTTTCTCCCTTTTTTCCTTTGTGAGCCTGGCTAGGGGTTTGTCTATTTTATTTATTTTTTCAAAGAACCAGCTCTTGGTTTCATTGATCTTTTGGATTGTTTTTTTAGTTTCAATTTCATTTATTTCTGCTTTGGTTTTTATTATTTCTTTTCTTCTACTGGTTCTGGGGTTTTTTGTTGTTCTTTTTCTAGATCTTTGAGCTTCGAGATTAGGTTGTTTCTTTGAGTTCTTTCTTGTTTTTTGATGTGAGCTTCTATTGCTATATATTTTCCTCTTATTACTGCTTTTGCTGCATCCCATACATTTAGGATATTGGTGTCCTCCTTGTCATTCAATTCAAAGAATTTTTTAATTTCTTCTTTGATCTCCTCGTTAGTCCAGTGGTCTTCCAGTAATGTGGCTTTTAATCTCCATGAGGTAGGATAGTTCCTTGCCTTCTTTTTATGATTTATTTCTAGTTTGATGCCTTCGTGGTCAGAAAAGATGGTTGGTATGATTTCAATCTTGGTGTATCTGTTGATGTTTGTCTTGTGCCCCAGTATGTGATCGATCCTGGAGAATGATCCGTGTGCGCTTGAGAAAAATGTGTACTCCGTTTTTTTTGGGTTTAGTGTTCTATAGATGTCTGTTAAGCCCAAATGCTCTAGGTCCTTATTTAGAGCTTTAGTTTCTTTACTTATTTTTTGTCTTGTTGATCTATCCATTGTTGATAGTGGTGTGTTGAAGTCTCCCACTACATATGTGTTTTCTCTGATGTCTGTTTTCAGAGAGGACAACAGTTGTCTGATATATTTTGGTGCTCTTTCGTTTGGTGAGTATATGTTAATGAGTGTTATTTCTTCTTGAAGTATTGTCCCCTTAATCATAATGTAGTGACCATTGGGGTCTCTTTTTATTTTTTTGAGTTTGAAGTCTGTTTTATCTGATATAAGTATAGCTGTTCCTGCTTTCTTTTTTGGCCCATTTGCTTGTAGGATTGTTTTCCATCCTTTGACTTTGAGCCTATTTTTATCTTTTCTAGCTAAATGTGTTTCCTGGAGACAGCAAAAGGTTGGGTTTTGTTTCTTAATCCAGGCTGCAACTCTGTGTCTTTTTATTGAAGAGTTTAGTCCATTTACATTTAGAGTTAATATTGATATGTTAGCATCTGTATTTGCCATTATGTTTGTCTTTCCTTTGATTTTATTTATTCTTTTAATAACTTTTTTTTTTTTTTTGGTCTTCTTTCGTTGTTATTCGTCCCTCTGAGGTTCTGGCTTTAGGATTCCTTGTAGTATTTTTTGGAGTGGGGGTTTAGTCGCAATGAAATTCCGGAGTTTCTCTTTGTCTGGGAAGGTCCATATTCTTTCTTCATGGAGGAAAGAGAGCTTTGCGGGATAGAGTATTCTTGGTTGGCATCTGTTTTCTTGGAGTCTGTTGACTATGTCCCTCCACTCTCTCCTTGCCCGTAATGTTTCTTCAGAGAAGTCTGATGTCAGCCTGATTGGCTTTCCTTTGAATGTTATCTGTTTCTTCCCTCTTGTCAGCTTCATTATTTTTTCCTTGTCCTGGATTCTTGGGAGCTTTACTATTATGTGTCTTGCTGTGTTTTTCCTTTCGTCGTGGAAGTTTGGTGTTCTTCTTGCTTCTTGTATATCAATTTTCAGCTCCTTCTTCTCATTTGGGAAGTTCTCTTCAATTATATCCTGAATATTTTCTCTGTTCCTACATCTCTCTCCTCTCCTTCTGGAATTCCTATAACTCTTATATTTCCTTTCCTCATGGAGTCAGATAGTTCCCGAAGTCTTTCTTCATTCTTTTTCCTTCGTACTTCTCTTTCCTTTTCTGTTTTGGTTCTTTTTATTTCTGTGTCTTCAAGATTACTTATTCGTTCTTCCATTTCATCTATTCTGCTTTCATTGCTTTTCCCAGAGTTCTTTAGTTCCTCCATTAATTCTTTGATCTCCTGCATTTCTCTTACTTCCCTCTTTAGGGACTCAATTTCCTTCTTCTGATCTATCACTTTTTTAATCATGGCAATTTTAAATTCTCTTTCTGGAAGGCTCAGAAGTTCTTCCAAGTTGCTGTCGTTGCAATCTGGGGAGTGGTTTTCTTTTTGTGGTGTGCTTCTTTCCTGAGGAGTTTTTAGGTTGCGTGTGGTTCTTCTACTCCCTACTGTCTGTTTTCTAATTTGTCGTATGCGTTGGGACACTGTGTTGCTCGGACTGACTGATATCTTGGGTGAACTTCTCCGCTCTCCTCTGGCTCTTCCAGGAGCCATCTCTGTCTTCTGGGGGAGCTTTCTGCTGGTTTTAGGCAGTTTTTACTGAAGAAATGTCCCTGTTCTCAAATGGCGAAGCGGGATGCAGTCCCTGCGCCTCCAGTTTCAGGCACACTCTTCTGCGCACCCGGTCTGCCCCGGACGTGGGTGCCTGCTCCCTCTGTGGGCTCAGACTGCTGGTCGGAAGGGGCCTGGCGTGGAATAACTTCCCGGCTGGCCACTGGGTCCTCCAGAAACCTTCTGCCCTTTTCAAGCAGTCTTAAGAAATGTCCTGTTTTATAGGGTGTTAGTGACTTTTTTTTTTCCTGGTCGCTAGGTGGCGCCAGAGATCTCTCCTATTGTCCTTGGGGGGCTGTTTTTCGCCTCCCCCCACCCCGTGGGACAGAGAACAGAGCAGGAATGGTAGGGTACACCTCAACAGCTTTGGGGTGCTGTGTCTGCCTTGTGCCCCACCGTCGTGGAGAAACCACGCCCCGAATTTTCGTGCCCCGGGTCTCAGTTCAAAGCCCTCAGTTCCAGGACGCGGGCTGTAGCCCAGTTCAGTGGTGCGGGAATGGCGCCTTTTGCACCGCTCCCGTGCCTGGGCGCCTGGTTCCTGCTCACTCAGGGAGGGACCTTCACCTCAGTGAGGGCCTCCGCGCGTCTCCCCGCAAGCCTAGGTCGTCTCCCCGCAAGCCTAGGTCGCAGGCGCGGGGACCTGGGCAGCCGCGATCCAGGTCTGCACTTGCTTTTCAAGCGCGCCGAGCGAGCCGCTTTCCCGCGCAGGCTTACCGGCAGCCCGGGCTGTGTGCGCGTCTCCCGGGGTCTTTGTTCTTCTCTAATGGCGCCCGGAGCCGTTAGCTCGCCGCCGCGGCGAATCCTGCAGGGTTCGCCTCAGCTCCCGTTCACGGGGTGTGGTGGCTGCAATAGTTCCTTTCCACTCACGGTCCCGCTTGCTACGTCGTTTGTTCTTGTTGGTTGTTTTGGTTTGTTGTTTCCTCCTCTCTGCCGGTTGGAGAATGCCGCCTCACCAGAGGGGAAGATGGCGCGCAAGCTGCAGGCTGAGAGATGGTGATCAGAAAGTTGTTTTTAAACTGTTGTCTTAGCTCCCCTCCCCCAGGAAAATCAATAATAAAATTGAATTTGACATAAAGAAAATCTGATCTTTTAATTTTGTTAGAAAAGGAAAAACGATAATTTTGTTGGCTCAAATATTTTCATGCTAACTTGCTGTACCATTAATATAACATTAACAACATATATAGAAAGAAAGATATGTGTGTACATCTCTCTGTATTTTAAACACAGCTAAAATCACAGTGAATGAACCACTTGACATTTTAAAATTTGGCTTTCAACTGGGTCGCTACATGCAAAAGAATGAAGCTTGACCACTACCTCACACCATACACAAAAATCAACTCAAAATGGATTAAAGAACTAGACATAAGACCTGAAACCATAAAATATATAGAAGGAAATATAGGCGAAACACTACGTGATTTGCACATCAAAGACATCTTTACAGACACATCACCCAAAGCAGTGATAGTGAAGGCAAAGATAAACAGCTGGGACTACATCAAATTAAAGAGCTTCTGCACAGCAAAAGAGACAATAACAAAAACAAAGAGAAACCCCACCAACTGGGAGAACATTTTTGCACCCAACACTAATGATAAAGGACTGATCACAAAAATCTGCAAAGAGCTGATGAGACTCAACAACAACAAAGAAAATAATCCTGTCAAAAAATGGGCAGAAGAGCTAAAAAGAAACTTCTCTGAAGAGGAAATGCAAATGGCCAACAGGCATATGAAAAAATGTTCAACATCACTTGTCATCAGGGAAATGCAAATCAAAACTACCATGAGATACCATCTTACACCAGTGAGAATGGCACACATTAAAAAAACTAGCAACAACAAATGTTGGAGAGGGTGTGGAGAAAAAGGAACTCTCCTGCACTGCTGGTGGGAGTGCAAACTGGTCCAACCACTGTGGAGAGCTGTGTGGAGATTTCTGGACCTACTAAACATAGAGCTTCCATATGATCCAGCAATTCCACTCCTGGGTATTTACCCAAAGGACACAGAAACATCAATTCCAAAGAACACCTGCACCCCTATGTTTATAGCAGCACTATTTACAATAGCTAAGCTTTGGAAACAACCCAAATGCCCAAAAATAGATGACTGGATCAAGAAGATGTGGTACATATATACCATGGAATATTACTCAGCATTCAAAAAAGATAAACACATGCAATTTGCAGCAACATGGATGGCGCTGGAAGGGATCATGCTCAGCGAAATAAGCCAGAAAGAAAAAGAAAAATACCGGATGGTCTCACTCATAGCAGGAATCTAGAAAACTTAAATAAGGGACCAGGAAAATGAATAACTATAAGAAAGCGAAAATCAAAATCAACAAAAAACTATGAACCAGAGACACTTTTAGGGTGGCGGGGGCGGGAGGGGAGGGATTGGGGTCAGAATGGGGGGGCTGCAATTGTATGGGGAATATAAAAATAAAATTTATTATTTAAAAAAAAAATAAAATTTGGCTTTCAAATGTCTGTTTAATGAAGAGATACTTTTTGATATTTGTAGGCCTAATTTTCAGTTCCTTTATCTTGATGTATAATGAATTACTAAACCATTTCCTTACTTTGAAATTTAGATTGTTTCCAGATATTTTAAAACGAATATGGGTTATAGCAACTATTATCTCTCGAAAAGTTTTCTGTTTTTAATTCTCTCTTATTTCTTATGAAAGTTATCATCCCGGAAGGTCTCTTTCTATACATTATCATTTTACTTTTCTAAATGAATTACAATTTGTACTTTTATCAGCCAAGGTTGTGAGAAGATTTACTTTTACTTGATACCATAGTGCATAGTTTCAAACATTCCCGTTCCTGTAACTGAGTTAACAGAATGACACATTGTTTGCTTTACTTTTCATATCTTGATTATTAGAGAGGATTAATCTTTTCTAAAGCATTTTATACTTAAAAAATTTTTCTTTTAGACTATCTCTTCTAAAAAGTAAAGATAGTACTGTTTTTACTTTTATTCCTGGGTTATGGCTTTCTGCCAAAGAAAGGTCTCTCTACTCCCATCCTCCCAAATCAAATTTTGGGCTTTGTTGATGATGTCAGTCTTTTTTTTTTCCCCAATAGAAAACAACTTAAATAGAATCAGTGTGCAATACGGAGAGAAGAGAGAGGATATAGTTTCCCAATAAAACACCCAAATAACTCATGCTACCCCTAGTAGGTTAATGCCTCGCTAAACAGGCTTGGCCCAAAGCAGGGCCACTAAAGGCCTGAAAACTTGCCCCAAGTCTAAGGCACCTTCTGGTGGGGACCCACAGGAAAGGGCAGAAAAAGAGCAAAATCAAAATCCAAGTCAAGATAAAGGCTGAACCATTTTTCAAACTTTGTCCAGATTTCTGCTTTTGGTGGAGGGGTTGGGGTTGGTGAGCATCCTAGAGGATCTGGAACACTGCACCTGAATGCTTTTACGATAATGATTGGCATGAGCTGAACGGGAGTGCAGACTTAGACAGGCTTGTCTTTCTGGTTTGCCTCAGGTCCCATCCCTCTCAGATACCTGGGCACCGTTTGGACTTTGAAAGTCTTGCTTGGACTTCCCCAGAACCAGAAGCAGTTTTCTGGAGCGTGAAAGACCACAGCGCCCTCTAGTGCCAGCTATGCTGTTATCAGCTCTGTGAAAAAGATGTCTGGGGAATTTACTGCTGGGTTTCACAATTGCCTCAGCAAAGTAAACCTGCAAACGAGGACAGAGTCTTACAATTTGTTCCTCAGAATTGTCTTTTATAAATTGATTTGTAGGGAGTTATTTATAGAATGGGTTCCTGAGTGAGCAGTGAGTTCTTATTGCCTCTCCAAATGTTGCAATACCTAGGTCTCTTCCCCACAATCAAGTATGTGTGGAATGTACAACTCCCATCTGTGCGTGTATTTTCTCCCAATTCTCCCTCTGGCTGTGTCCAAGGAACAACTTTGGTAGGCTTGCAGTGTAGCTAAACATGAAAATAAGCTCCACTTTTAAAAGAATGGAAAGAAAAATATAGCCTCTCATTTGGTCTTTCAGATTTAAAAGCTTCATTCCATGGTATATGAGTGGAGCGGTAAAATGAAACATTGGACTACATTCACACTTCCTGGCACATGTCACCGGCCTGAGCTTGCTTTTCCTCAGTGGGGTGCTGGCATCAGCTGAGGGGTGCTTAACCCAATTCAGTTCTACTGGCAAAAAGATTAAATGGGAAAAGTGATTTAGTTGCACAACAGCAGGCACCAATTAGTAACTTCTTCCTGCCTTTCTTTCACTCTTTGCTTAAAGGTAGTCGGATAGACTGTACAGAACCTACTGAGAAGAAATTTGAAAAATGTGAACCAACACTCTTGATAAAACCTGAAGACATTGTCATTAAAGAACCAGGGAGCTCAGAAACAACTCTTCGGACACTTCTGAGGCCAAGTGATAAAGTTTCTAATCACTATAAGACAACTTCTTCTGAGATCAGTGCGGTTGTAGGAGGTGTTCCTTCTACTTGTGAGTATGTGACATTATTTGTCCAGTTTTACAGGGATCAGCAAACAGACACAAAAGGTCTTTTGTCAATTCTCCTATTTTACCCAGCCTCTGTCTTCTATAGACTATAAATTTCTCAAAGCCTAGGACTTTCATTCAATTCTGTATGGTATGCATTTCCTGGTCTCAATAACTATAGACTGGACTGAACTACCCATGATGATCCAGGTAAAATGATTCTGTCTGTTATTAATGAAATTGAAACCGTGATCTGTGAGAACATTGAATGTCAAACCTGGTAGTAATTTGGTCTTTAGGAAGTGTTAGTGGACTTTTGAACAAAGTTATCCTTAGCTCTCTAGTTAGCTGCCTTTATGTATTTGAAGAGCTCTTCTGAAACTATTCTCTGTATCTTCACCCTCTGCCCCCATTCTTATGCTAGGACTGCCTTAACACAAATCACAAATTGAATGACTTAAAGAATAGAAATTTTCCATTTCATGGTCTTGGAGGTTAAAAGTCTGAGATCAAGGTGCTGGCAGGGTTGGTTCCTTCTGAGGGTTTGAAAGAGAATCTATTCAGGCCCTTCGTATTTCTGGTTTGCTGGGAGTCTGGTACTATTTTGTGTCTGCTGCACCCCATCCACCTTTGCCTCAATCTTCACAGTGTTCTCCTGTGTGGGTGTCTCTGTCCACATGTTCCCTTATGTAAGGATGTCAGTCTTATAGGGCCAACCCAGCACAGTATCCTCTTAACTAATTATATCTGTAAGACCCTATTTCACATTCTGAGGTGTGAGAGGTAAGGACTTTAATGTATAGATCTGGGGAGCATACAATTATATATCTCCAGATTGAGCATGACGAATTTTGATTCTTTAGAAAGATTATTTTATGTTGCTCAAGATCACTTCGTTAGACTAAAATCATGGTCAAGGATTTACATTTTTTCTTAATTGGATTTTATAGTCATGCTAAACATTCTGGGAGAATGTTTAGTATTGCTATTCCCTTCAGAATAGTGCCGTGTCATAGAAATATAGTGGGAGTGATACATATTTTAAAATTTTTAGTAGCCATTTTTAAGATGAAAAACAGGTAAAATTAATTTGAGTGGCATAAGTATATATCTCTTCAAAATCTTATTTCAACTAATAAGCAATATAAAAACATTTTGAATTTTTGATACTGAATCTTTGAAACTCAGTGTGTGTTTTACACGTACAACATCTCACTTCAAACTAGCCATATTTAAATGCTCACTAGCCACATGTGGTTGGTGGCTGTTGTGTTATACAGCTCAGTTTTAGACTGTCTCTTCCTTGCTCATTGATGTCCTAGGTTATCCCATCTGTGGTGTCCCAACCATCCGGTCTGACATTCCTGTCCCCAGAATTCGTCGCATCAGCGATAGGACTAATTATGGTGAAGAGGGCAATGCCTATTCGTTACTATACCCTACTGTCTTTGGTCACAAAGGAGTGTTTGAAAGAGACTTCTTCAAGACCAGATCAAAAAAAGAGGTACAGCATATTATTTCAAAAGCGATGAAGGAAACGCCAACTTTAAATAAATACCCAAAGATAGAAATGTTTATTTATCAAGAACTACTTTTTTAGATGTTTTAAAGCTTGAGTTTTTAAATTACAAAAGCTGTTGGGATCCTCAAAGACAGAATTCTTGAGGATAATGTTCACTTTGGTTGTGATGTCTAGGTACCATTCTTGAAATAGAGTTTATGATAGGAAACATTACTTGCACATTGTATATGATCCATGTATAAAAAGAAAAATATTTTTCCAAGACTGGATGGAACTCAAATTAAGCAAGTCTTTTATCTTTACTCTTACTTTTCTTACTTGAATTTTGCTTCCTCTCTGTACAATCATCGGAAACATGTAGAGTTGAAAGTCACTTTATATATTGGCTACTTTAAGTATTCTCATTCATATAAATAAAATTGTTCATGAGCCAAATGTACTAGAATCTTGATATTTGCTCATTATATATAATGAGCACATATATAACTTATTAGGGATAAACAGCCATAGCCTTTGATGTTTTAAAGACATTCTTATGATTCAAATTTAAAAGCATGTGAATCTTAGTCTGTCAATTTTTTTTCTAGATTGCAGAGATATTATGTAACATTGGTGTCAAGCTTTCTGATGAAGAATTTGAAAATGTATGGAATCTTGCATCAAAAAAACATTATAGAGGAGAAGTTTGCATTGAGAGTATCAGAAATGTTCTAGATGAGCTACAACATGCAGACCGGATTAAATGTAAACCAACCATGTGATATTCTTGGAGTTCATTCATTTAAACAAAAAATTTGTTAAATCTTTGTTCATTTTAAAATGATTGATCATTCTGGTTTTACTTATTATGTTAAAATTCAGCAATCACTGTGATAGGACTCATATGCCTGTATTGTGTTGCAAATAAATTAGATTTTGGATTTAAATTTTATTTCATTGTTTTCTGTAAAGTGCCAAAAAACTTGAGAGCCACTTGGCACATGCCTTTAATCTCATCAAAAGCATGGTTCTGAATGACTTTAGAAGTTTGTAATGTTTAGTTTGCCTAAGAATTTTTGCATTTTAGTTGTTTGTCTGAAATTCAAAGTCTGGATTGTGGTGCCAGGTTCATCAATGTGATGCCTTTAACATTTTGTTATTTTTCTCTTTAGTCATCATTATGACACAAGTTTAATGGGCTTTTACTCTATTAGCTTCTGAAGAAAACAAACATAATCACAAGCAGCAGGATTTATTTTCTTTTTTCTTTTTTTTTTTAAAACAATATTTGCTTCCCCCACCCCCTCAGATTGAGTCCCCATAGAATTTCCTTCCCCAAGGCATCTGTGTACCATCACCACAGTGCCCTGAAGCAGCAGGATTTAAAGAGCAAAACCTTAATTTCATAATCGCTATGACATAATCGCTACTACCTTTTAAGATCTTTCTATGTCCAGAAAAGCATGTAGTCCCTGAAGTATCTGAAGTGATCATAGCTGACTCCCTGAAAAAGTCGAGGTAAAAGAAATTGGGAGCCTGTAGGATGAGTTGCCCCAAGTCCTGTCTGAACAGGAGGACTGAATAATTGACAGGTGAATCCAAACAGTTTGGCCCACCACAGCGACCATGACGCAGCATCCTGACTAATGATTATCTCGAACTCTCCTGGAGGGAGAAGGTTAAGAGCCGGCATGCTCAGCTGGTGTGTAAACATCTGGCATGCCCAGGTGTAGCCCAACCCAGGCCAGACTAAGACAGTGCCCTCCTCCCAGCCTCATGGACTTAAACTTTCAATATCTCTTCCTAACTCCCTTTGAAGAGCCAGGCTAAATTCTCCTTCCCCTCACTGGCCCCCTCATTTGTGAGTCTCTAATAAAGCCTTGCTTGGTTCACCTCCATCCAGCACTTTCTGCTGAATTCTTTCCCTAGACGACAAAGGACTATTTTGGGCTGGGGTCTGTAATGCTACCACTAGATGTAGTTTCAGAGAGTTATTAGAAGCAAAATGTTGTGGCATCATCTGTTACATAAAGACAAGGCCTACCCTTAGTGTGAAAGATCTCTAATAGAATTAATGTGTATAGAGAGAAAAGAGAAGAAAGGATAATAGTTTGCCAACAAAACAGCCAAAATTACCCATCTCTTCATGCATAAATGCCCAGCCAAACACGGTTGGCCTAAGGCAGGGCTTCCTAGGCTCAAAAGCTTGCCATTAGTCTGAGGTACCTTCTGGTGGGGAAACAGAAAGGGGCAAAAGGGGCAAAGCAAGTCTGGAATTAAGGTACAAATTCAAAGTACAAATCAAGGTAAAGGCTGCCATTGTCAGACTCTCCATTGATCTCTTCCAAGTGTCTCTACATGTCTCTTCTTGTGTCTCCCCCAAGGGGGTTTGTCTGTTGCCCCATAGGCCAGACTGGAGACTGCTGCAGAGACATGCAACTCTCACTTGGAAGTAGTTGTGGAGTTACTGCTCTGGTGGCCACCATGCATCAGTGCTCTATGCTGCTCAGAACACCAAGTCCCATCTTGCTACTGAAAGGCGAGATAGACTTGTTGGAATTTGCAATGGGGCATCCATCAGGGTGAGCCCTTTGCACCCCTGGGTGAGGGGAACTACTCAGTCTCCACTCGATCCTCTTGTCCTGCTGCAAGTTGAACCTTTTGAAACACAGTACTTGAAAAGGAACACACAACATTGAATGGGGTGAGACTCAAGCGGTAGCGATCCTGGCCTGGCATTTACCTCTCAGTCCCTAAAGCTGCGACCACCTTTTCAAGGCCAGATGAACCAGTTCTGCTTTCCACTGGTGAGACTGTTTGGTAACAGTCTTTCTTCCTTCCATTGGCTTGGAGGACTTTGCAGCTCTTAGGAGATTGACCCGGTAAGCGTTACACAATTGCCTACAAAGTCTGTCCTTACTGAACACTGAATTCTCCCTAATGAGAAAAACTGTCCTCCCAAACAGGGATGGCCTTGGACGTTATTACTGCCTTTTAAGGAGGCATCTATGCCATTATCAAAACAGAATGCCCTGTATTCATATCTGATGAGTCTGCTAATGTAGCATCTTTCGTAAATCACAAGACAACACAGGCAAACCCTCTGAATGATGTGACTCCCCAGCTAAGAGACTTAATAAATCAGTGCCTTGAATCACAGGGGCTTATGATGGAAAAAATTGTTATTCTGGGCATCACTCTGTTCATCTGTGTTTCTCTAGCCTGTTGCCATATTATTTCCGCGATCTGTTTCCAGTGCCCCCAGATAGCCACCCCCATGCTTAGTGAAAACCCTTGCTGGCTGCAGGCCTGGTGGGTAAGGCTGCAGGAGCTGCACTGCTCTGGTGGGGGTGGGGCGCAGAATTGCTGAAAGTCACCGAGAGGACGTGACCTGGGTTGACCCAGGAGCCGATCGCTCAACCCTAGACTCCTCCCAGCTCTCTGGTCCTCAGAACGCATGTTCGGCCTGCGGGCGGTGGGAGCTGCTCTCCTCGCCACACAGCCCAGAGAAGCCAAGTGCTGTGGGGACTGGTCTAAGTGTGTGACTGATCCGGGTTCAAGCCTTTTGATAAACTTTGAGATTCCGGGAGAGGGTGTAGACGTCTGCTCCTAAGTAAGTTACTTCTAAGAAAGTTCTGTTGCTGGTTCCAACTCTGCTGCCTACCAACGTGGAGAGGCCTGCCTCTCCTTCCTTTTTGCCCTTTGTGTGGGGGACCAGTTAGCAAACTAACACTATCTCTGGGAGACTGTAAAATGGGCCAAAATAATATATATTCAACTTCAACGTAATTCAGTTGCCAAAGCTGAACGTTTTGTGGACTTTCTATTTCTCACCCCAAATTATGCCCAGCCATGTGGTCTCATAAGGCAGGAGGGATGCAGCAAAGAGGAAAATGACACCGGTCCTAAGTGCAGGTTCATAAACATACTCCAGGTTTGAACAAACACTGTCGTGTCCAAATTTACAGGGAGAAATTAATGCCCACATGTTGTAGCTCCTTGAAATTCAAAATCTGAATAAAATGAAAATGAATTAAAGACAAATCAATTTCTAGTGCCCAGGGATTTAAAACTCCCAGCAATTATTTTTGCCTTTTATGCTTGGGGGTGGGAGGATGAAGAGAGAGAGAGAGGGCGTAAGCCGGAGCGAGGGCACATTTTTCTGCATTTTGAGTCTTCCTGGCTCCTGAAGTCATATTGACTTATCTCCAAGTCTCTGATGAACCTCAATTTTAGAAGATCAAAGATGTAACAGAATATACAAGCCAACCCCAAATCCTGAGCAGTTATCCCTGTGAAACTGGCTCACAGTTTAGTGTGTATGTCACCACAACCCTAGCAAAGACCTCAAGTACGAGGGGAGCAGAGTAATGGGGAAAAATATTGATTTCAGCTTCATCAGGAGGCCCATTAATATATGTGAGTTAGCCAGAAATCAGACCTTTGAGCTTAATTTGGGAGAAATAAGTTTAATATGGGTCCTATGCAATTTATTGTATTGGATACTATTTTTTTCTTTGAGAATATCATTTACATTGTTTCTTTCTTGCAATGCTTAGCAATGAGCTATAGCAGCTCAGTCTTATTTATTTATTTGTGGAAGTTATGTTTACTGAGGTAATGTTGATTTACAACACTGGATATTTCTAGGGGTTCAGGTTCATACCACTACAAATACATGTTACCATGCCACCTCCATCCCCAAAGCACCAGGATTCCTCCACCAGTGTCTATTAGATTCCCTCCCCTCCTGGTCACCATGTTTTATTATGAAGTGTCTTTCTTTACTGTCCAGCATATTCAGCTCCATGGATGTTGGTATCACCAAGAAAGATGCCAGAGATGGTAGCAGAGAGAAAGAGAGCCACTCCAGTTACATACCTCTTTGCAATAATGACGAAAGATAGGCACTACCATTTTAGAAAGATGTATATATGCATATACTTTTGGTCATGCAATATCTAAACCTTTGTCTTGGTTCTAATGAATAGCTCTTTGGACCAGGTGAATATTAAAGTGGCTTCATTTTGTAAAAATTTATACTAAGGTAGATTTATTACTTGTTTCTATCATCCATCCATCCATTCCTCCATCCATCCATCCATCCATCCATCCATCCATCCATCCATCCATCCATCCATCCATCCATCCATCCATGCATGCATGCATGTGACTAACCATTGCTTATCCGAACTTCGGCTAAGTATCCTTTCTGGAAGATTTTGTTCTTTGAATGCAAGGACAGAATCTTGGTCTCGGTGCTTCCCCATTTGTGGCGGTAGGGGGCACCCTAGCATTTCCAAACTTAGAGATGAGCCTTTGCTCACAGAGCAGCTTAACTGCAGCCAGCTCAATAATACTTTCATAAAAAAGGAGAATGTTAGATTGGAGTGGGGAGATTGTTTACCATTGTACTTTCCGAAATCCAGGATGATCCAAGCAGTTTCTTCTTTTATTATTTAATGGCAGTAATTAGGCTGGAAAGAAACATTTTAGATAGTAAGCTAGAGGGGAGTTTGTTTGGATAATAAAGTGTCATCTCCCTGAAAGAAGTAAAACAGCTTGAAATATTAAGGTGTGATATATATAAATATCCAAATATATAACATGTTCTCACCTAAATTATGTCTCTAATGTATTCATAATTGTCTTAATAGTAAAACATGTTAAACCCATACAAACTTTAAAAAGCCACTATTTCCTAGCCCAGGCAAGTAAACTTAATACATTTTCTTCACAGCATAGCTAACAAACCGAGACACTTGTTGGAAATATTATGTGGACCAATAAAAGGTAATTTTATTTTATGTAATAACCTCTTATGAAAACTCACTGTGACTTGATGTGAAGAGCAGGGCTAGTTACAGGTTAACACCCCAATCATAAACCAACAATGAGGATAGACTTGAAGGGCATTTCTTTAATTATGAAACC